TCCTGTTTTATTGGAGAAGCAGATATTAAAAAGCAAAAAAAAAAAAAAAAAGATTGTGTTGAAGCTTCAGTGAAAAGAAATGCACAAATATGTGTGTCATCCATTCCAGCCACATAAAGGTTGTAATTTGAAAACTTCAGATATTACTAAAGCTTGCTACATATTAAAAGTAATTTGATTTCCTGGCTAGTTTCCTTCTTAATTACATATGATTACTTTGGCCAGATACAATATTACCTTGTCACAGTTAGCTTCCTTTGATCCAGCTCCATGCAATGAAATCATGGGCTTGTTTTTTATGATGGAACAATGGTTTTCATTTTGATGTCATGAGTAAAGAATTAAGAACTTTTCCTGTTTGCATGAAGAAATAAAATCCAAAATAAGAAACTTCTGGGATCTAAGCGGAACACTGAGAAAATCCTAATATATAACATTTTATACTAACCCAGTTACTAGAAACAAATTAATTCCTGACAGTTCTACTCTAGCTGCAAGATGCATTGGCTGACCCATTAAGGATTTTCTGGTCTCTAACATGTATTATTTATTTGGTTTAACCACCCAAAGAAGACTGGGGGGAGGGGGTGGGTTAACTACAGAAGAGCAAAAAAAGGAAAGAGGTGGTGCTGTCACACCTAAGAAAAGGCAATTGCTCACTCATGGGAAAGTGCCAGGCACAAATCTCTTGTGAAAAGGATTACAGGTATTTGCGGGGGGGCAGACCTGTACAAAAAGGCTGGGGGAGTAACTGCCATTCATAATACCATAATACCATAACAACTTTGCTAGTTAGACCACTGGTCAGATTCAGAATAGCTGTTCATTTCACCATACTTCCTTATTCATGAGTAGCAACAAAGCTGAAGAACATGATTTTCTTCTCAGTGGGCAATTTCTTAAAAATCAAGCACTGAACATCTCGAACCAGCCTGGAAGCCACATCGCCTGATCTGAAAGCCTTGTGCCCCCCTCCCCAGGCATGCAGAAGCCAGCTATACCTATTTCATATTTAGGGATAAGGGTTCTTGCCACTCCTAATACTGAACTTAGTGCTGCCAAGATTATAGCTAAACCAGGTGCACTGAGAAATGAGGAACTCCGAGGTCTGCAGAACTAGCAAAACGAACTCCCTTTATAAAAACCTTGGAACAGCCCAGTGAGGACTGGCCATACTCTTTAGTTCCACAATGTAAAATGACAAGTTGACAGTGAAAAGAAGGTGGGGGTTGGCATTGGAAAATACCGGTTGGAGAGAACAGCTAGCAGAAACCCTGAAGAGGAGCACACTTTTTATGGTAGGAGGATACAACTTTTGTTGCTGGTCTTACTTTTCCTTTCAAATTTAGAACAAGGGCATGTACATATGGCAGGCCTTGGCTCTCCTTGTGCCGCTGTCTTTTGTAAAGCATTTGTAAAAACCCAACTCAGCTAAAATGTACTGACAAATGATCTTTTCCTCTATGCCATTCCATATAAGAACAAAAGAAGAGCTCTACTGGATCAGACGTAGTTTTGTCTGGTCCAATATTCCGCTCCTCACCGTGGCCAACTAGATGTTTCTGGAATGTCACCAAGACTGCATGAAGACAACACCAGAATTCTTTAGCAGCTGGTACTTAGCAACACACTGCTTCTGGGTGTGGAGGTTCGGTACAGCCCTCATGACTAATACCAATGGAAGGCCTCTTAACTATTGATTTGCCAAATACAGTAAAAGTCATCTATATTACATGAACAACATTTCCACATGAGGCCAATAGCGAGAGAGGGAGGCTCAAGTGTGCTCTAAGAAGAGGGATAGTTCCAGAAAAAGGCAACATTGGGTGTTGGAAATCCAAGACAGAGGAACAGTCCCAGTATTCCAACAGCACTGCCCTTCTTAGTTCCAAACTAGACAGGCCACGAGAGACCTGGAAATGTGGTTTCCTGTTTTATTTGATTGAAGTACAGCCATAGTGCTGTGTGTGAATTAGCTTAGAGAAGGAGCAGGGGATTGCTTAACATACTTTCTGTAAACTGTTATTTTGGGTAATAACATACAATCCTCAGGTGATATTTTACCCATGGGAGAAAGATATGTAAAGAGCAACAAGGGCAATTTTGACGGGGAAAAGCCCTGTCTGGAAGACCCCTGCCACTCCTGCATCTCCAACCTCTATTGACTGCATTTTTCCGGTGCGTTTAGTTAAATGCCTGGGAAACTGCTCATGCCTTCCTGGAGGCTCTTATTTTGTACAGACCTCCACAATGTGCCTGGGACATCACAAAGGTACTCTTGTTTTACATACACATCCTTCTCACCTAGTTTGAGGTCCCACTGAGGACATCTTGCCAGAGGAGCATTGAGATTCAGAATGATTTAAGCCTTCAATTCTATATATACTAATTTGTGAAGAGATCCTATTAAATTAACCAGGAGTTCAGTTTAAAGGTGCATAGGACCCGACAGTGCCTTACGTGAAAAAATGGGTATGCTGATTGTGAACACAGCAGCGTCCTGCTGTCTGAGTAATGTGGCCTAGAGGGTTTAGTTTAAGAAAGATATTTTAATATCACTTCCAAAAGGGTTGCTATTCTCATCAAGTCCCAGTCCAAGCTATGATCTGCAATACTGCCTAGATAGGATCTTTAATATCCGTAAAGACCTAACTTCAAACTCTCACTGCCTTGAGCTTCTATTATTTCCTGGCTGATAACAAAAGGACAGCAAATATTAATTTGAAGCTTTGCAGCAACATAGTTTCCTTTTTCCAGTCAGCCAGAGGGATTTATCAAATGAAATCTATTCCATTTGCTTTTACCAAATCATTCTATGTGAGCCATGTAGCCTGGCTGGCCGGCTGGCCAAGAGTTCTAATGGGTGGAACTTCAGTAGCCTTAGGAACTGCCTTGCACGATGGTATGATCCTGGGTGTGATGCAAAGCTAACCATTGTTTTGTGGAAACAACAGCAGCTAAGTAACTAGCAAGTGCAATGCCTGAAAGTTTTAACATTTTATCTGTGGAAGTGAAAAATCTTACATTGTAGGTTATGTAATTATGGGTTATTGTATTGCCAATAATTTGCAAAATACTAAATAGTACATAAAACCTTGCACTGCAGCTCCTTTCTGTCCAGAGCCATTACAAATTAGACCAGGGGTCCTCAAGCTTTTTGCATCACTGCACACATTTGGAAAGTTGAAAGTGTTGTGAATACTCTACCATGGGGAGTGCTGGTCCATTCATAAAATGGCTACCATGGTGTGCATGGCCATTCACAAAACATTGATTTTTCAGAAGACTAAAAGGAAAAAAAGGAACTTGCCAAAAACCTACATATAAAGCAATAGGTAGGGTCTGAACGCCAAAACACAAAACTAGTCTTTTGAAACCAAATAAAGATGGTGCTGGAAGGTAGTGCTTTGCAGCATACTAACACCCTAGGTAAAATTTGTTTTTAAAATCTTAATAAAATTAGGAGGGAGAAAGCCTGACAAATGCCAAGAGAAGTATCAGCAAGCACATTAGTGCTCAAAGGCACTATGGTGTATACCCCAAATTCCGATGAGACAAGATTTTGGACAGCTTCTGTAATAGGAAACTTTTGCTTCATGAAACCATTCGACTTCTTTGAAAGTTTCAACAAGCATGTAGCTAGTGATGATGTAATATGCATACAGTAATTTTAACTACCCTGGATCTGTAGCTACCATGCTGCATTTAGGCTAGCAGAAGCATTCACTTTGCTTTGAATTATTTGGCCCAAAAGGCTGAAGAGATTTCCCTAAGTGTTAACTAATGCATACAATGCCAATTTCAGCTTTGTTTTGCATGGGGATGTATACAGAGAAACCATTCTTCTGAGGCAGATCAATTCCAAACAAGGGCACTGCCACAGAGGCTGAAAAGTGGGCAGACATGTATAGGACTTTAGCTTTCCAGTTTAAAGGTAATCTGAATGAAGAAAGGTTTGATGAAGGAAGAAATGATTTCTATTTCATTTATTGATGTGTTTACTGTATCTTTATTCCACTTTTCAGACCATCATTGTAAGCCTGCCATCAGAATAAGGTGGTACACTTTGAGCCAGGCTTATCTTTCCTTGTAGGTATTCAGCAATTGGTGGTTATTTGTTCAATGGATGGAACCAAAGTCCTGTTCCCTTCCTTTGTAGTCCTAGGGCTACAGGCAGTTAGAACAGTGCTCTTTCCTGTAAGGAAAGGAGAAGAATATCTCGCACCTGTCCCTCCTGTGACTAAGAGATGGGCCATGTTGGTCACCACTCTTGGCATATTATTAAGGAGGCGGCACCTCCCAGCAGTTATTGGTCCCCTTGGCTGATGGGGAGTATGCTTCTATTTTGCTTTCCTAACGTAGGGCAGCTATCAGTTATCTCACAGTTTCTTAAGAAGCAGAGAACTGCTTAGAGGAAGAGCCTCATGATTTCGCACAGGGCTTTGGATGCTACCCTAGGAGTCTTTTTTTCTTCTGCCACTGCTGCAGGGCCAGGTAAAAACTTAGAATATGTAACAAATAAACCTTCACCAGACTCGAAACCACTTAACTCACACAGTGCTCCACAGCAACAGGCCCTCTCAACCATCCAGGCCTCTCTTCCCTTAAATTCTTGTTCAGTCCATAGCTAGAATATCTTCCAACACAGCATCATCATCCATAAATACAAAACAATTAAAACCATAGTACAACCAGCTTCCCTACCCACCAGACTACATCTCCCAGCATTACCAACTATTGGCCATACTAGCTACCACCAAGAGCAGTTAAAATTTTTTAAAATCTAGATAATGCCACAGTGGGGAGAACCAAGCTACAAACACCTTCCCCACGCCATCTCGCTCATGCTCAACGACTCCTTACATATACACCCTCAGCAGTAGGAAGCCTTGCCAGGCAGAGGCGTGGCCGCTTCGGCTCCGTCATCTCTCCGCGCCGCTTTTTTACTGACGGAGAAAAGTGTCGTTCGAACCTACCGAGCGGCCCCGAGGACGGGCGGAGCTTAGTGCTGCGCATCCATGCGCCGGTGAGGGAGGGAGAGACCAGGGAAGAGCCAGGTGGATGGTGGCTGTTTGAGGACAGACCCAGCAGGAAGCGTAGCGGTTCCGGTAATAGTCCGCTAGCGCTGTGCTGTTTGCGGGCGAAGCAGCGCGTGGAGGTTTGTTTGCTGCGGATGGTCGCAAGCGGCGCAGTCATGAAGGGGGCAGCACGCGCGCAACGAAGTGCGCCTTTCTCGTGCTGGGGCGCGCCTTCCCTTTTTCGAGCAGGCATGGAAAAGACCCGCTGAGCTGTCACTGCCGGTCCTCCTAGAATTACCCGTAAAGCTGCCCCTCATGCACCCCCACCTCGGCGCCTTGTGGCATCTTTAAAGCTAACGGTACTTGGAAGTAAGTCCTGCTGCATTCAGAAGGGGTTACTCCCAAGTAAGAGGCTGACAGCGGCATAAGCTACAGCCGTCCGCTCCGACGGTGCCGTGAGACTTCGTAAAGCGTTTCTCGTAAACGGGCTCAGGTGGGCGAGCTCCTATTCAGGCGTTTTCGGTGACTTGGTGCGCGCATGCGCGACGAACGGCTGCGATAGCTCCGGTTCTCGCCGCCCCGTCCTCCCTCCTGTTGTCCGTGGAGAGAAAGGGGCGCGCCTCAGTTCTGCGGCTCATGCCACGCTGCTGGCTCTGAGCGTCCCTTCTGGGCGCTTGGGTGGCAGTCCTGGCCCCTCTCAGAGTCTGCGGGGTAAAAAAGGCAGTCCCCTTCTGCGTCAGCACCGCGGCCCAGTTGCCTGAGCTGGTGTGGATAAAAGATTTAATTCCTGTTTCTAGCTTGCTTGGTAGCATTGAAGCATTAAGTTTCGGTTTCTCCGCTCCAACCCGCCCCCAGTCATTGAGAAGCAATGCTACTGTGCCTCACAGGATTGCTCTGTTATTGCCAACAATATTCAACGGAAAGTGTTCTTACATGTAAAAAAAGTTTCATATCGTTGGTTTCAGTGTTTGCCATCACTAAATGTTGAAAGTTTAGTACAGAAAGATTATGTAGGTGTACTTTCTTGAAATTGCTGCTGATGCTGATAAAGATGTCAGACTTGTTATCTTGCCTGTGATTAAATGCTCTGGACAATATATATTTACACTGGACATAAATACATAAATATAAAAATATGTGTTTGAGTCTCCCAGTTTTCATTAAAGAAAGTCACCCACAATGGCTTATGGTGAATCAGTAAAACAAGACAGTCCTTCTCTGTTGGCTTACAAACTCAAAAGGCACTAGGAGAAGGGGATGGGAAGGGAAAAAAAAATCAAGTAAATTTTCAATAGCTGATAGACTGTCCCTACTTTGTTTCTCATCTCCTGTGGTTGAGAGCAGCCCAAATAGCATTTGGACTGATACTTCCTTGGCATGCCCCTTTCTTCCTTATTCCCAGCTGTCAGCTAGCCTTGATGAAACTAAAATACTTAGTCCACCTAATGAGAAGAAAGGACTCACTGGAGAAGACCCTGATGTTGGGAATGATTGACAGTAAAAGGAGAAGGGGATGGCAGCAGTTAAGGTGGATGGATGGGGTCACTGAGATGATGGGTGTGGACTCTGGGGGATGGTGGAGGACAGGGGAGCCTGGAGGCATGTTGTCCCTGGGGTCGTGGTGGGTTGAGCACGACTTTGTGACTAAACAAAAACCTAGCCTAAATTTTGTAGCTTCAACAATAGAACTGCATCATATATACCTTCATATCAATCTACAGGCTGAAATCTCATTTTAATAACTTATTGTATTGGTGGTAATGGATAATTTCTCAGAATGAAATCAAGCCAACAAAACTGGAATTCCTTCTTATGCAGATGCAGCATCACTTTGCATATTTCTAGAAACTTCTACTGTAACCCTCTATTTAAAAAGTTGCAAATATTTTGGGCTATAGGAGTTATTCAAAAGGTGTTAAGATTCAGTTTTTCCTGTTTGTATTACCTATTCCATAAATAAATATGGTGTGTTTCATTTGTTTCAGATGCATCATGTACAAAATGGGGGTCTTCCGTGTGGGACTTGGTGTGGTTTTGGGAGCAGCTGCAGGAATTGGTCTCTTCTATTATTTTTATAAACAAAAGAGAAAAAAACCCTGGCGGAGATGGAGCTCCCGATTTCTAAATGTACATAATCAACAGAATGCTCTGGACTGTCAGGAACGCACAGAAGTTCTGCAGCTTTATAATCGGGGTATGATGGTGTGTGTGTCAGTCAGTCAGTTCTCTAAAGCTGCTATTGCTCAAGGTTATTAAATGTCATATTTCTGTTTAACTTGAAAGTCTTCTGCTAGTATTCTTAATTCTTTCCTGAATTTCAGTGTAAGTATGGCCTGAGATAACTGTACTCAAGGTAGATTTGCACACTTATGGAGGGAAAATCACCCAAGGTGGTTTATTTTCTTTTCCTTACATGCTACCTAATTAAGCAAAATTTCCTTTGTTGGGCATGGGTTGTTATCCTGCAGAGTGACTGAGGTGGTTTACAAACTACCCTGAGACTCTAGAACAGGCTGTGAGTTTCAGGTTGGTTTGTATACTAGCCCAGACACCCACCAACAGCATGCATCTTAAAGGATAATTATGTGGCTCATAACCAGTAAGCACAGGGATAACCAGCTATTATGGCTTATTTTCCCTTTGTGATTGTGCAAACCTGGTTCCTGTGTCTTCCTAAACAAAATTAAGAATTCCTCTTACTTTGGCTACATTTAAAATCTATCACTTTAGTTATAATAGTTTCAAGTGTCATCAAATACAAATATATTAATGTTATGTAAAATATTAAATAACAGTTGGCAAGAGTTTTCCTTTCCACAGCACTTTTCACAAGAAGATAAATGCATGGAAAGGAAGAAGCAGGCTTTCATACAACAACAGTGCTCTCAACATCTGTGGTTCACCCACTATTATACAAGAAGTTCCCCAGTGTTCCTTCACTCATCTGGAGTAGATTTAGGCTGTGAGGGAGATGGGGGATCCATCAACAGTGTGCTGTTGGCGGACAGACTGTGTTGGATTTCACACAATAGATTCAGTTTCATGTGTGCATAAATGCTTAATGTGCACAATAGTGCATGCAAAGGGCTCTTTTCTGCATGTGTGTGTGATATATTTTGGCTGCTTTATTGTGTGTTTTGTGATGGATGACATTGTGAGGTCAGTCAGCTATTGCATGCGTTAATTGGTACCTGTTGTACATGAATAATGAGGTCTTGGTGCACAGTATGACAATTAGGTACTGTGGTATTATTTGGCTCAAAGAGTATTGGGGTTACTGTATCAGCTTGCTTTCTGCAGCTCTTATTGCGCTGCTGTCTATGCTGCTTGAGCACTCGTAGATATGCTGGTGTTTGTGTGGTTGTAACAGATGCTGGTCTAGATAAGGACTATTTAACGCACCATGCTGTGCACCAGGCTTCTCTGAAAATACAGCTTACTGGCTTTAGTGTTAAATACTATGTATTTTCAACAGAAGTTGAATTAAATTCACAGTATATTGAATTCACAGTATGTAAGTTAAGAAAAAAACCTGACAAAATGAAGAGCTAGGGCTATTTAGTCAGATTTATATATCATATATAATTCTAGAGTTATACCTAGAATTCTGAAAATGAACATCTAGCAACAAGCTTGTTCAGAGTAGATTAAGTTATCTTGTAACTACTTCATTTTCTAGTCCCAAGGATGAGAGCAGGCCTGGTGGAGGGTGGTGATAGCATCTCACATACAACTCTTCTAACTCGTGAAGAACAAACTGAAGTACTGAACCATCTAGACTTTGTGCTCAAAAGCCTTATAGACCTGCGACATGAAGTGGAAGAACTGAGAAACAGCCTGCAGGCTTTAGCTGGAGAGATTATTGGAGAAGTCAGGTTGGTATTAAAACTTTCTTCTGTGATGTCCAGGTAGCTGAAAAATCTTTCACCCTAACTGTAAACTATATTCTGGGAGAAATTTGTATTTATCAGTTTTTAGTTTTCCTGCTATCTGCACAGCAAATAAAAGTAATTTCAGCTGAAGCTTGGATCTGCTGTGGAATTCTATTTTGGAATGTTAGCACAAGGCTGAACTTTGGCCTTCACCTTGCAGAATGATTTACTTGTCACTATCTGGTAACTTTTGATTGTACCAGATATATAACCATCAATATGTTCTGTGGCAGATTAGGAAATAGCAGGCTGAAAACATTTGGAAGGCCACTATTAGTAGCTGTAAAAGAGAAGCAGTACTAGGAGACAACTAGATTAGGGTGTAATCTTATAACTACTTACTGGAATGTAATGGATCTTGCTTCTGACTAGGCATACTTAAACTTCTTGAGGTACCTCCCTGTGGATGTTTGAAGGAAGAAAGTCCTTAATTTCCAGCATGCCCCAATCAGCTCGGCTGCATGAAAGGATGCCAGGAGCTGTAGAATTTCTCTCTCTCAAAATATGCGTAGGATATTGTCCTTAACGGATGGCCATTTATTTGTTTCAGGGTTTGAAGCATGGTATATTTAGCTAGATATGTTTTGACCAACAAATATTCTAGACTTAATGAACTAGTCTGTCTAGTCTGTAAACTGTTTATCAGTATTCCTTCTTAGTAATGGTAGTTGGTAATGGTGAAATCATTATATAAAGTATTTAAATGTCTGCTTTATAGGCTTGAATTCTGTACAGTAATGATTCCATAAAGTCTTATTTATAGTAGCACTTGTTCTAAACTACATTGAGCAGAATGGAATAATCAATTTGATTAGGCAGGGAAGAGGAAATGGGAATAAAACAGGCATATGGGAATAAAAAAGGAAATGGGATAAAACAGGCATATTCTTCTATCTCTCTTATTTTACAGGTCTCATCTAGAAGAAAGCCAGAAGGTTACACGGCGGAGGCGTTTTGTATATCCCAGGGAAAGAAGTGATTCTACAGGATCTAGCTCTATATATTTCACAGCCAGCTCAGGAACAGCCAACACTTACGATGCTGAAAGTGAGGGAGGGTAAGCAAGCCTTTTGTTGTTGTTCAAAGAAGAGACTAGTTAATATTGATAAATCTTTCTCAAAGTTAGGCTGTGCAATAGAACTAAGCAGCTGTAAAGCTTCTAATTTGCATTGAATAATAAGCCTTCTGGGAGGATGTTCAAGGAGAAATCTTGAAGTTTTACTTTAAGTTGATTATATGATTCAACAGCATGTTTGGTTAATTCAGTTATAATATTAAGTTGGAACAGAATACTGTTCTGGAAGTGTGTTTATATATACACGCACACAAATCTGATGGCTGTTTTTACAGTCAACAGCAATAGCAAAATTAGTTAAGACTGCTTAGTCGCTCTGGGATACATTTGTTTTAAATGTATTGTCTGAGATTGATTGTTTGGTGAAATCCATTTCACCAGCAGATGTTGTTCTGCTATGGTTCTATATTTCTGAAGAGCTCAAGTCAGGTAACATAAAGAAATTGCTGGAACTGAATACATTAGATATGTATGAATATCCTTGAATATTACTAGTTTGAATTACCATGTGAGCAGTCCTGAGGCTTTTACGACAGGACAGCATATAAATACTTTAAATAAATAAATAAAATTAAAATACAATACAATACAATAATTAAAATAAAATAAAATAAAAAACTGCAGAAGCTATGGGGAAGCCTGTGGCAGTAAATATTTTTGAAGCAGTAAATATACTTTGCAACACCTAAGCAGAATTTCTTACAGGACACATAATAATTTGCACACCCAAAAGGGATATCTTTAATGCCTTTTGAAAATAAAGGTCCATCTTTCCTTGGTGGGGAAGTAGCTATCTTTCTCATCTAGACAAGCACTGAAAAACAGAGCAAGGCAATAATGAAGGATATAGAAAATATAAAGTGTAAGGACTTTTCATTGGAGATCAAGACCAAGCTCATCCATACTATTGTATTCCTGATTACTGTATATGGAAGTGAAAGCTGGACAGTGTAGAAAGCTGACAGAAAATGCTGTGTTGGAAACATAGTGTTGGAGAGCTTTTCAAATACCCTGGACCTGAGAGAAAGATGAACAACTGAGTCATAGATTAAATCAAGGGAGAACTTCCTTGGAACTAGGAATGACAAAACTGAGGCTGCTGTATTTTGGAACATCATGAGAAGGCAGGACTCACTGAAGAAGTCAATAAAGCTAAGGGAAAGTTGAAGGCAGAAGAGAAAGACCACCTATGAGATGAATCAGTTCCATGGATGAAGCCACAGCCTTGAGTTTACTAGAGTTGAGCAGGCCTGTCAAAGACAGGAAATCTTGGAGGGGATACATTTGTAGGATTTCATACATTGGAGGTGACTTGATGGCATGTAAACAACAGCAGAGATGCTGTAGCTTGTCCATCCTTACATTGAGTGGTTTCCATGGTTCTTTAGCCAAGTATCCCTAAAGTAAGTACACTTGCATTTGTATGACTGCCCCCTACTCTTCTCCCAAGCCTGCAGAAGTGAGAAAGGGTGACCTCCTTCCATCCCGCTGCTGGGGTAACTTTGGAGAAGCTTACGAGTAGAAATGAGCAGGGCATCTTTTTGCTTGTTGTTGGTTCAGCATATCTGAACCTGAGCCCTCCTTTCCAATGTGGAGCTTGGGAGGAAGGTGAAACTTGTTCCTGCAGTTGTGCTGGGCCTTGGACACACTCCCTCTGAAGTTCAGAATGACAGCACTGAAGACAGACTGGCTTCTTTGCCAGTTTTCACCATTCACTTTCTCTATTCTGATTTCAAAAGGCTGTTAGTCTGGCTTCTGTCTTGTCTGACTTCATTGGGCCTCCTTACTATGGTCTCCTAAGACAGGCAGGGCCTTAAAATATAGTTTGTGTTTTATACATTTTTGGGCACAAGCAAGACTAACTCAGTCACCTGGTATTTTTATACTCCTCTGCATGAATAAGTGCCTTATATTTAGTGCCTAGACCCCCTTGGGGTGATGCTGGGGAACTAGAGAGCTTTTGTGAAGAAAATTACTGTGTCTCTGTCTGGATTACACTTGGAAAACCAGTGTGTTTCCTGTCCAAATGAATCTCTTTAATTCAGTGGTGATACGTCTGCTGTAAGCTTGCCAGATAACCCTTTCCTGCTTATTCTGTTGCATATGTGCTTTCTTCAGCTGCATAAATTAGTCTTGCACTGTGATTAGGATAGGTACACACTATACATCTTTTGTCTTGATCCTTTTGTGTTTGAGAACTTAGCATTTTTGCTTAGTAGAAGAGCATATCTGTGCTGATCCTGGATATTTTTGACACAGCTGCTGTTTCATTTATTTCTATACTCCCTTTCTATACTGCCCCAGTGCCAAAGCTCTCTGGGAAGTTGATTAAGTTCACCTAACTTGACAATTCACCATGGTTAGCCAGCATTGGTGGGTTCTTATACCTTATGTTTTGGGAATAAGCCATACAAGATCTCAGTGAACACAGTTCTCTGTCAGGCACACCATGGTTTGTTCTACATAGCTTATTCACAGAGTGGCCTAATGTGATGTGTGAACACAGCCATTATCTGCAAAGCACCAGGCCCAACTGGAATGTTTATGTGTTTAACTTGTTGTGTTTAGTCTTGTCTATCATCCACAGGCAGCAAGTTTATATTTTGTCTGTTTGCTTGTTCACTTGGGATTCCATATTTAAACATTAAGTGATTTGTTACTGTCCAGAGGTCTAGTTGGCCATCTCTGATATATAACTTCAGTCATGCTTTCACCAAGTCTAATTAGTTCAAAACTGAGAGGTGTGGAGATAAGTTTTAAAGGTGGGGTGACTTTTCAGAAAAAAAGGCAGAACCTGGTAGTGTGTGTGTTCTTTGACTTGGTGTATGGGGTATACAGTGTGGATGAAACTGCTTTAAATAATCGTATGGTCAGTGCCATCTTGGACTCCGAGGACTGGCATAAATGACTTAGGCACTCAGTGCCAAAGTCCTTTTAGCCTAGCAGTGAAGAAATGTTTCTGCCTACATAATCTTTTTGTTTGCTGTTTCATGTTCTGCTCTCTTTAATAAACCGCTGTTACCTAAAAAAAAGTCATCTAAGGGCTACTAAGGCTACATCCCTGTGCTGTGAAAGAGTGCCCTTAGATTGTTTGGCTGTATGGTTGCCTGAAAAAGAACTTTATTCCCAAGTTAGTGAGTGGAATCCAGAACTGTTCCCTTCCCTATGGTTTTTGCTTGCTTTAGGATATCTAAACTATGTTCTAAGTACCTGGTGGCAGTTGTGGAGAAATAAATCTTGCTAATGAAATATATTGCTGATAGCTTTTATTGATTTGAACTCCACCAAGGGAGGTGATGAATGGCACAATGTCACTCCATAAGTATCATGGACAAGTGGAGACTTGAACCTGGGTCTCCCTAGTCCTGATCCAGCATGTTACCTATTGCACCTCACTCCGCATGCATAAAGATGTTAAAGGCTGGCCAATGAGGAAAATAAGCACACACAACATCCATTCCAGAGCATTTTACTAAGAGGGCTTTTGCAGATCTGAACTTATTACTGTGATTGAAACATCAAATGGTGATGTATGTGAAATAGTACAGCCAGAGCTAATAAATAGTCTGATATCACTCCAAATATGTATTGCATGTTTTGTAGCAAAGTTTGTGTCCTGAGTACCTCAAGTAATTAGCTGGTCTGGCTTAGAAATTTTGTAAGCACCACTTCCTAACATGTCTTGAGAAGCTGTGCTGATAGGTAGTTTATAGTAGGAGCTAGAATGTTGATTGAGAGGATTAGAAATACTCTATATTGAAGAATCTCTAAATGAATGGTTTAGGAATCTGAATTGTATAAATGTATTGATCAAGTATTCTGACAACATTACTGCTATGATTAATTTATATGCATCTGTAATATATATGAGAACAATTTTACAGATTCATATATCCATATACTGTCAGTGTGCTAAACTATATTTAAAGGACAACCCTTGTTCTTTTATGTTTTCTATTTTTTATTTTTTTTTCTTAATTCTTTAAAATATTGGTTGTTGAAAGTGCATTTTTTTCTGATGGAGTGGTCACATACTCATTTGAGAATTTGTGATGACCATAAATGTGTGCTGAGGTTCCAGATGAGAGAAAAGCTGCTTCAGTTTTTCAGTCTAAGTTCAGCTTTGAGGCCCTTAAGCCTAGTCCTCTGTCCTATGCTGTATCTACTGCTGATGTAGGAAGATATTTTGAAATGGCTGACATTTAGGATTATTCCTATATTGGCATACTTTTTTTAGATGTTGTAGTATATGAAAACTATTATCTGTGCTTCATGCCATAGCAAACTAGTTTCCCAAAGAAACCTTACTGATATTAGGTATGCTGATACAGGCAGCCTGTCTCCACTTGGTTCCTTCCACTAGCAGCACCCAGCAAATTAACCAGAAATTCATTACCATGAAAGCTTGTCCTGTTATTTGAGCCAGGACTCCTGGCTCCTCGCTTACAAGTTCTCACTCCCAAATGAAACAAGAGTCTGAAACGAGGAACAAACCCTGACTTGTGATCCTGGGTTATAAGGGGACAAGCCAGGAATTCATGCTTGCACAACACAGTAAGTTTTCAATTCCTGGTTGGCTTAGCACAGCCTTACCTAACCTAGTAACTTTCAGATGTCTTGAACTATGTCCACCATCTCTAATAGTTGGTTATGGTGGCGGGGACTGATGTGTGCTGTAGTCCTCAGCATCTGAAAGGTGCCAACTTGTGAGGCAACTGGTTAATTATTTGTGCTAATGGGCAAGAATTGTAAGCCAGGCTTTTCCAGAAACCTAAGACTGACACATAGCTGCTAACTTTTAAATAGCTTTATACTGAGTGTACCTAGAATCTTCTGTATTTTCTCCTAAAGTTATACCACAGCCAATGCAGAATCTGATTTTGATCGGGAGTCTGATAAAGAAAGTGAAGAGGGGGAAGATGAAATTAGTTGTGAGACAGTGAGAACTGCAAGGAGAGATTCCTTGGACCTTGTCAATGAAGATGAAACAACACTGACCTCAGACCCTGCAGAGCAAGAGCTTGGTCAGTTGCTGCAGCAAGCGGATCAGTTGCACAGCAGGAGTGACCAGGAGAAGAGGGAAGGATTCCAGCTGCTGCTTAACAACAAACTTGTGGTAAAGTTCACTCTAGCTATTTCCCAGAAATACTGTGAGTTAAGCTAATGGTGGGTGGGTGGGGGACAGAACGGAGTGTTGTGCAAGGTCTTGTCTGCACCACAGCTGTAAAGAGGCCAGTCATCTAATTGCTCCTGTTAGAAAATTTAGAAGCTCCGAAGATGTAACCCCTTTTAAAGTGCATATCTTTTGGAAATAAGATGGTACAGTAATTCAATCATTAGAAGTGAAGTAGCATTTCTGAACTTGATAGCTACACTCTTCACAAATGCACTAAACTGTTTAGGCACAATTATTTAGATAATGTATCTTTAAAGTTGCTTTGTATTAATATCTACAGGCCAAATGGTTAACTGTTCATAAGACTGATTGTTAACCCTGTTACAGAGAAGGAAGGCTCAGCAGAATCAAAATTTGGTCCATCTTTATTTGTATTCTTTTCCACTAATCAATAGGAGGGGCCTGTCTTAGCCCATTGCAGTGTTGTGTTATGTCAGCAGTCTTACGCCGATTCCAAGGCTGCCTCACTACTTCTTTAGTCTGATAACTGGTCTACTCTCTGATAATTGTACCTTTGCCATAATATTCCCCCCAGATATTCAGAATTCATTCTCTCTATCTCCCATGGCAAAAATAGGTCACAAAAATGGTTTTTAAAATATATTTGGTATGACTAGTTTAATTTTTGTAACTTTGGAGTCATGCTACTTAAGAATGTTGTCTCAGTCTGCTTGCAAAACAGCAGCACAGCGCTGTCAGTAATGATGCTGCAGTACTTTCGTAGTTCTTTCAGTTTATTTGCTGAAACAGATTTGCTAGGAAAGCTGCTACTTATTTCCTGTATGTGACAACAACATTTGACTGTCTGACCAATTTCTTTACTAGATGCAAAGCTCTAAGAACTGTATTACATTTCGATACTGGAGTGAAGAAGAGATTTAAGTTAGATATTGATTTGAATTTGCATGCATAGCATACATCTGCATTGTTCATCAGATGACCTTTCTACTTAATGTTTTAATTAAACTGCTTTGTGAACAGCATGGTACCTACTATATGTTGTACTTAGAAGTTCCGTTGCCTGTAACCTTGAATGAGCGGAAGGCAGACAGGTAATCTAACATTCAGTCTATCCACAGTATGGTGACAAGCAAGATTTCCTTTGGCGTCTGGCTCGAGCATATAGTGATATGTATGAGATCACAGAAGATGCAGATGAGAAGAAAACCTATGTTTCTGACGGTAAGAAGATTAGTGGCAGCAGTATATATGAATACAATTATATTTCTCATTAACACACTGTATCAGGAACTATCACCATCTTATTCAGTATACCTCTTTTTATGTCTAAGGTACCCAGGCATAAGGTATGAGACCACCAGACTAGAAGTTCATATAGTTTTAAGTAAAATTAAGTTTTTATTAGAAATGATGAACTAATATAACTTGTTATTGATATTAATGATATTAATGATATTATTAAAGTGTTAATGATATTCTTACCGTAAGAATATGGCCATGGAAAGACTGGGGAGAATAAAATGAGGCCCTTCTGTGTATGGCCAGCTCAACCAATTCCATTGCACAAGCAGCCCCTGGTAGTACCTGGAAGTGCTCATTTGCCTTCGTGCAGGTGGTGGCAGCTGCTTGCATAGTGGAATTGGCTGGGCTGGCTGCACATGGAATGGGAGTGATGGTGGTCCCTGTGTACAGACAGGCAGATAGGATCTTGCTCTTTAATTTTGTTCCTGATTAACCATATTGGACACTATCCCAGTCTTGGCAGTAAAAGGTAGATAAATGTTCTTTAGTCTGGTACGGTTTGGCTACAAACTAGAACCGTTAAGGCTTCTCACTAGTTTTTCTTTGAAATCTTCTTGTTTCTGCAATGTTACCACCAGCTAACATTCAGTTCTCAGCTATTTCTGACAGTTACCTCAGGAGTGTTCCTTTCCTCACTTGCAGACCTTCCCCTCCTGCCATGAGTGTTATCAGCTCCAGTGTTGACTCTCCCCCACTTTTTTTGCTGCTTTCTTCATAGCTGACTTTTTTTTCTTGTTCAGGTGATTCTTCTAGTGGCACCTTCATTTTGTTCCAACCAGAACCCTCCAGCCAATCAGCTTCATGCCACCTTTTCTAAACCACCCATTTCCTTTAGAACATACAAATAATAGGAATCAGATTGTACCATTTTGAAAAAATGTATAAACTTCACAGATCAGTTTCTTTAGAAAATGCTTTGTGATAATGGCACCTCACTGAATTAGGCATCTAAGCATTGAAAAGTCATTTAAATGGAATTGTGTTCAGTGTACTACTTGTCAAGTACTGCCATTTTATTTATTGGATTTAAAGACAAATTATTGTGTAGGATGAATAGTACAATGAACTCTAATAGATGTGAATATATTAAATCTTGATCAAATCTTTGTCCTAGCCGTTTCTGACCTATACCTTTGCTAATAGGTTGTTTTACCCCTCAAATTCCTGAGCTTATGCTTATCTCAAAGTTGTCCACTTTACTTTATTTCCTTTGTTACTGCTTACTGCTTTCTTTTTGTTGGCTGTAAACAGCAACCAGTTATTCTTCAAGCTAGGCAAAATTATGTCCATTTTGGTACTGGACTCCTTACGTTGCAGTTCTTCTACAGACTACACCCTGGTCACACAGAGCAATGCAAGTTGACTTGACTCGCTGATAGCTTGCAATCTGCAACTGCCCTTCTGAATATGCCGCCTCATGTGCAGTGTGTTCCTTTCTTTACTTTTAGTTACAAGCATATTGTTTCATGTTGCAGGCAAAGAAGAAATGGAGATGGCTCTGCTTATGGGGGATCAAAATGCTGACTGTCACCAGTGGTATGTGATTACTTCCATTGTACAGGAAAGGAAAAGGAGAGAACATTTTTCTAGATACTAGTTTTTAAATATTGTTACATTTATCAAAATACTTAATCTGGACTACACTCCCCATGAAGAGTTGTTGCATTCTTAAATATGCAAACTTGATTTATCTTCCTTCCATAAATAATTCTTTGTTTGGCAAAATAATTTACAAGTTCGTGAATTGCACAGTTATAGTTAATCCATGTTTTGTTAATTGGCTCTTGTAGCTAACTACAAACTGGGTCAGAACAACTGCCGCAAAGGTTTTATGTTTCTTCCAATCTGTGTGATGCATCTCTCCTAACTCTGAAAATGTGATTGGTATGTGCCCCCTTATAAGTTATCATTTTAGTAATGTATTGCTCTTCCCAAGAGATGCAAATATGGAGTGTAGGCATGCATTTTAGACAGTTCTGTTTCTGCAAGGAAACAACTATGATGCAAGTGGCAATAGTCCAGTATTTCTTTTCTTTTGCTTCCTGCCAATCTTTGTTATTCCAGCAAATCTGCAATTCAGGTGCAATCCAGCTGTGAGTTTAAAATCCTCCAAAGGATTTTAGAATTTCACTAAAAGTGGCACTCTGCAAACAATTTTCCTAAATTTGATTATTGAAGTGGCAGACAGCCATCAGGAGATAAGTACAGTAGTTTTCAGATGTTCTGAGTTCTAAAAGATAATAAAGATGCGGGGGTGGAGGAGTAGAAGTTGCCTAAAAAGTAGATGGAAGGAGGTTACCTTTAGAATCAGGACTACAGAGAACTATAGAAGGGTCGAAAAGGGGAGCAAGATGACCACCTGTAGTTTTGTAGGAAAATATTTTACTTCTAAGATGCAAGCTTAATATAGAGGGTTTTCCTGATTAATACCTGCAATAGCAAAATGAGGTGACAAATGTGAAGTAATACTTTAGTTATTGACCCTGATTTTCTGGCTATGTAAGTGTGTAAAGTAGGAAGAACTGCTTCCTGTTCATGTATGCACATTTGTTAGAAGTACACCTTCTTTATCCTGAGTGGTGAATTACTGACACTACAGGGGAAGAATACCCAAATTCTTTTTCTGTTAGTAATTTCTTGCAGCACTGTGATTTGAATACAGCTTCTCCTTGTTAAGTGAGAGGTTTTATTGCAGTATCCTTTCTACCGAGCAGGAAAAAGAAGGCTTTTGCTTGAAGCTTCATATACTGCTAAAGGAAGAAGAGGAAAAAAACTTCTGTATCTAGCAGGAATATGAAGCTGAGTTCCATAGTCCATAGCAGCAGTAAGCATTTGTCTTGGAGCTAGGATGTACAATTAGTTGATGTTGAACCAGGATGTCATGTGATGTTGAACATGAGATGTATATCTTCAAAACAAAGTGGGTGGCTGACCCTACCTCATGTTTAAATAGGACTATCCCATGACTTCCAAAACTAGTTCTATGTTTAATCATGTAGTAGGGAAGAAAACTGTGCACAGGTCAAAAGCTAGGGCAACTGCATACTGTACAGGAACTGTAAATCTGCTGAGGCAGAGATATGTGGATCCCTAAAGGCTAAACATTAGAAAACAGCTGGATCCTCTTTCCACGTTGGTGTGTCTGATCTCTGCATTCCTGAGAAGCTTCTTTACACAGTGAAGGGAGAGAGCGGCTATGCATGTGTAAGACCCAGTTCTGATCTGATCAGACACTCTGTGGGTGGGAGTGGAAAGATGTGGTAACAGCTGAAAAGCTGAGAATGAAGAATCAAGAGGAGGAATTGCATGTTTGCCTTGGCATCAGAGTTTGTTGTTGCAAGAAGAGTTGGAAGTACAAGAACAGTAGGGGATTTCAGAGATTTCTCTCTAGACAAGACAGTGCAGGTGCAGCTTTATCAACCCTTTATGCTGTTTCAGCAAAAATGTTCGCAACTGCTAATTTATGAAGTCTGAAACTGAACAGAGTCAATTAAAACATGCATGAGGTTGGTTTCCAGAAATAAGTAGAGTTCTAGTATGCGAGGTGTGTTGCCTTAAAAGGAGAGAGGCACTTAATATTCAGGGAAGAATTTGCAACAGCAGAAAACTTTCAAAAGCAAGTAGTCTTTAGTTCTAGTTTTTGCCCTACGTTTTTCTGAATGGAATGCGTGTCTTTTGAAGTGCTGTGTCATATAAATTATTTTACAAACTGAGTAAGCGCTGCACTGAAGACTCTGAAGTTCAGATTTACCTTCCAGATCATCTCTGTTAACAAATGTATTGGTAGGAAGATGCTGTTTTTCCCCACTGTGATATAGATGGATGATTTCTAAGTATACCTCATACTTACGATTTCACCTCTGGAAGCTGGTACCGTCACTCAATCTTTTTAAAGAAAGATTCAAAGTTGCAGTGTAACCACTGAAAATACCCCTTTAGGCACCTTTTGCTGTTGAAATAGCAACTGTAAAGAGCAATGTTCTAGTCAAGAGAGAACATAACAAGGAGCAAAATTCTCAGATTTACTTTTCTAAAATATTTCAGCTGTTACCATGTATTTCTACCCCACTTTTTAGTGTCTTATCAAATCAGAAATGGACCTTCTTCATGTAAACTAGCTCACCCTCTTCCGTGGGTAAAAATGTTATTGTTTAATGTTTATCTGGTTTTGTAATGTTCTGTGATTTTGGATACTGAACTTTGGTTTTCTCATTTCCAGGGAGTTTGCATATAGAAATAGAATGGCTCCCAATCTTACCTTTTAAGTAATTTCCAATACTCAGTTTGCATGTGTAACTAAATAAGTAAGCACCAATACTTAAGTTACCATTTACCTTCTTTCATAGGCTGTTCTTTATTTTCAGCCTAAGGGTAAGCATTCCCCTACACCTAGAGCTGCTCTTCTGGAGTTACACGTAGTGCAATTTTTCCATTAGAAATCGAGGGTTCAGATCAAAGCAATAAATGCATCATGCTTAAAACTAGCAGTTACATTTTAGCAAAAGAGTAAAGGTATCATCCCCTATAACCTCTAATCCATTAAAGCCATTATTAAAATTTCTGGCAGAATCCACCAATGCTTTGGTTTATCATTTAAAAAATTGTTTTCGGTGAAACAGTGATGGGGGAATGGAAATATGGGGGTTATAATATCCACTTCAAAGAGAAAAATAGGACCACATCTACAACCATATTGCTCTAGTTTTTGAATTCTTATTTTCTGGGATTTATTACATTAAGACCTGTGAAAGATTTTCATGCACTACAATAAAACTGTTAGTTCTTTAACATGTTAAACAGACTCTTGTGCTTGAATGTGTAAGTGGGGGGTAACTAGATGGCTGAGTTTATTTTTTTGTAAATCCTGTTCAAATTAAACTTTCAAACATTTCTCTTTGTATAGAGAAGAGTTTGTGGAAAGTGTTTTACTCATACCAGCATGTTTCCTCCATGTCTCCCCTCAGGAAAAGGTTCACCTATAAGTCAGCTTGAATTGCTTTCTTCACTGATTGACCTTGTAGACAGAATGTAAATATCTAGCTCGCTTTTTGGCTAATGTGAAAACTGGTGTGCAATAAAAGATATATCTGAAAATAGGGGAGAGGCAATATTTCTTGCTTCAAAACCCCAGCACCATTAACTTATTTTGTTTTAATAATTTAGTGTTTTTAAAATCTGCATTAAACTGTTTGTTTTAAATACATTTGGTTTGTTAGCCACCTGTGTGCCAGTAAAATTGGATATAAATACTTTAATTAAAACTCCAAAAGCAAGACATAGTAGTGCTGTGGGGTTTGAGGTAGACAAGTCTGTATCTGCTTACAGTCCTAGGTGACTGGTTTTGGTTTTTTCCACTGACCAAGGTTCATGAGAATTCGTTCAGCTCTGAGATATATGGCTTCGGTCCAAGATCTGAGCTATCAACATCTATAGTCTTTTGAGCTGTGGGATAGCAGCAGGGGAGAAAAGAAGCAAGACAAATGGAACTCCAGAAAAACCTCTCCAGCTTATTTCCCATGGAAAAAGCTGTATATGAACTGAGTGGGAGAAATATACAACATTGAGTTCCTTATTCCTGCCAGGGCTGACCCGTTTCTTTTCACCATTCCTTTGTAGAGTGGAAGTTCTGCACAGCTTGATACTTCCAGATCCCCAGTCCTGACCAGGCACATTAACCAGTGAAAAGGGAGAAAATGAAGGTTACCAGTTAATTTGTAATAAACCTGACAAAGTTCAGGTTCAAGGAAGTGGTTTTTCTTAAGGAACGAGTGTGTCCAGGATTGCACCCTTGTTGTTCTTGGAGCTAATACTAGATTCCTATGATTTACAACTACATTCAGGCTCCGATTAAAAGCTGAGTATAGTACAAGTATAGTAGGGTTTGCAAGTTGTCATCATTAATACTATTAGTGGAAGAAGGGTTTTCTAGCGCCTGGCTTCAGGGCAAGTGTGGAGACAATTAACTGTGTTTATTTGAAGGTCTGTGAGAGTTCACAGGGTTTACATGGCTTTCTCTTGTTTAAACGGCCTTGTGAAGCTGCATTGTAAAGATTGATACACCTATAATAGCCTACATTATATTTCAGCCAAAGTTTTTATGGAGTTCCTGAGCAGGATGAATTAGTTTGCTGTGAACCCTTGAACTTTCTGGATTTTTACTCTCAGACCTGCTGTTTTCAACACCTCTTTATTTGGGAGTTACTTGTTTTGTAACACATACTGCAGCAAGTTAGTTCATGTACAAGTGGCAGAAAAAATGTTCAATATCAAAGGAAAACCCCCAGTATGGCCTTACCCCTACACCCTAAGAACCCAACATTTCTTCTTCCTTACTTTCCCTTTTATTAGCCTAGCTCTCATTAGCACTAGAATAGTTGTTAATATATTGTCAGACCACTAGACCATCCACAGTAATGTCTATTCCACCCCAAGCTTCCTTGCATCATCTCTCAGTTTACTAATATGCTTCTGTTTGTGACTCAACTAGAATAGCAGAGCACTATGTGAAATTTTGAAATTCTTTGACTTGTGAAATTCTTTGACATTATTAATAAGGCCAAGTGAGATAGCTTTGAGCTGAATATGTTGCGTTAGCTACTTGAATGAATGCTGGATTATGTTCAGGTTTCAATAGACTTAATCAAATTGATCTATAATATATATGTGTGTGTGTGTTCGTGTTAGCCAAGTTTATCTCTGTTTACATTGATTGTACCAAAAAAATCAAGATAAAAAGTAATCAGGATGGTATAGTAAACTATAGGAATGTTACTTCTTGTACATATTTCTTCCCACTGCATTGGATGTTTCTGATCCATTTTCTGCTAAGCTATTACCACCACATAAGGAAATTGCTGTAACTGTATACTTTAGTGGCTTACCTATCCTTCCATAAAATCGATCAAATGCATCCCTGGGGAAGATATAAGTTTAGATTAAATTTTGAGCCTCCAGAAGAAAAATAAATACAGCAGTAAAGTCATATTTGGGGATGATGTACTAACGATGAGGTTTGTTGTAATTCCCAGGTATGCTGTTCTCTGTGGTCAGTTTTCAGAACATGACAGTATACAAAAAAGAATACAGGCAGGATATGTTTTTAAGGTAATATTTTGTTCATTCATTTTAAAGAATGTTTATTGCAAGGAAGAAGAATATGATACTGCATGGATAAGACCTACGTAGGAGACTAGTAGGGAAGACATAAAGGTACTTTAAGATTGAGCTGCAAAGAGTATTTCCAGCAGATAATAACTATGAGTTGTCGAAAGTGAACAAGTTAGGCTGAGGTGGTTCTAACATCTCTGAATCCATTTTTCTATCTTAAACTTGTGGGAAGTGCTATCCTGCACTCCTGATGAGTGCTTGTTTGTGTGAATCAAATATCTATGATGCAGAAGACAGTAGAATGAATTATGTTTTCCCCATATGACCCAAATAATGGTGTATTGTTTAATTTTCTTCTTCTCATAACTAGTAGATAGAAGATCATCAGGTAGGAAAACAGAATCATCTACTGTGTGTGTAAGAGAAAGTATTGTAGGCATAAAAGAGAAAATGCAGAAATTGCTCCTTAATTTTTAAAGATACAACTTAAAGTGATGTTAGAGAAATGAGAAGAGAGTTTGAACCTCCCTTGACCTTTGTATAGACCTTGTCTTTAGGGATGCAGGAGAACACAGACTGGAATACTTGTTGATATTTTTACTTGTGATGTGGTTCCTCAAATAAAAAACTGAATCCATTAGGGGAAAGTGTGCATGCATGTATTAGTGGGGGGGGTGGAGTACAAATAAGTGTTATATAAGGAAAACCTTCTAGTGAAAAATGCATACAGTAGGAAAAATGTGCATGCAAATACATGTATTAGGAGTAATGCATATTTTAAGTTGGAAACTGATGTGGAAATGGAACAGAGCAAACTGAAGTCTGGAATAATGAGGGAAAATGGTAGATTTGTCCATCTCTACCTTAGTATTCACAAATTCTGTATTATCAACCTTTTATAGGTTGTGCGCTGTGCGCTTTATAGGTTGTGCGTTGTGCGCTGTGTCTCCCTCACAGAATTTCAGGTTTTCCAGAAAATGTAGTTTTCTGGGTTTGTTTCCTATTATGTTTAATGAATAAAATATTTATTTGCTGTTCATCCCTTTAGAAACATATTGACAAAGCAATAGCTCTGAGACCAGATGATCCCAAATCTTACTATCTCTTGGGCCGGTGGTGTTACCAGGTAAATTATTTTCTTTAGTATATATCTCTGGAATCTACAGAGCATAATAGTTAATCATTTTGTCTATGTAAAGTATAAAATGTGTCTGTTGAAAGCCTCAGGGTAGAGTCCTCTGGCCGGTGGACCCTGGCTGGCTTGCCATAGGAAAAAGTAGAGTTCCTGCTGCAACCTTGGAAAAGGTCACCAAGGCTGAAGTGGTGACTCTGTCTTTGGAGGGCCCTCCATCTGCCTTTGCAACTGGCACTGTTCTTTCTGCATTGACTGAAGCTTGGGAGATGGAAGACCATCTTTGTAGTAGGCCTGGTGGGTGGGTGACAAGTGAGGGACTGCCATTCTGTGGCAAATTTTGGTGGTGCCTCAGACAAAAATCAGCAGTCCAAATATTTTTGAGGAGTGTGAGAAGAGCACAGAGGCAGTCTCAAACTCCAGACTCATATAACCGTCCATTGTGAATGCCCATAATCTGCAGTGTTGGCAGGGTTACAGGCAGCTGCACAGAATGGTTCCCTTAGGGAACTATTGTTGCAATTGTCTGGATTTGTGTACAGCTTTTTACTATTGATAGGATCTTCACCAAAATGGTGAGTTTTACACATGGGACGATGGATGTTCATGGCATTGACATCATTCAGTAGTCCAAAAACATCTAAACATAATCAGGCAGAATTTAGTACTTGACAAAGCAGGTTTCCCTCAGTAATGAAGAATAGTCATTTGGAAAAAAATGCTGATTTAAGTAATTGGCACAAATGCTGAAATTCATATGCTGGCAGCAGGCACAAACCTGTTGTTAATTAGCAAAAAGTTCTCTTGCATTCAAGGACTTTGTGCCCCAAAGTTGTCTAACTCAGCTTTTGTTCTGTATGCAAATGGTTGAGGATGGGAGTCAGGCCTGTCTGATGACTGCTGGGATTTATACCATAATCATCCACTGCTGCTGTTTATCTGATTACTGCCTTGAACATATGTTTGCCATGTTGTGGATGTAAATGTGCTGTTGTAAGATATTTATATTGTGGCTCAGTGTGAAAACTGATCCAGGCCTATTCTTGGCCGTGTGCACAAATGTATAATTGTTTTGTTGCATGACTGTGTGATTTATATGAAAAGGTATGATTTATAAAGCTGAAGGGATCCTTTTTTTAATCAAACAAGTTAAAGTTGCATAAGAATAATTCCGTAAAACCTATTGAACCTTTTATTGAACTATAACTTTTTTGTATGAGTAAATCACTTTAAATGGTCTGTGTTCTAAATTTGAAATATTCATGATTTATTACTTGGATTTTTTTTTTGTTTATTTACCTTCCTCTTTTCTTTCCCTTTTCTCCAAAGAGGGAAGCAAATACTTATATTTGTGAGAAACCAAGATCCAAGTAGCTTTATAACTCCCAATTTAATGCTTTGGTCATATGGGGGCGGGGGAGAAGGGAAGTGAATACAAAAAGTTTATGAAAGAAAAGTGAGTTATGGACTATTCACGCTTTCACTTTCCCCATATTTCTTACTCCAATAAAGACAACTGTGTGCTAATCTTTGAACACACATGGATGTGATTAAGGATATTTTGGAACACTCCAGGGCTTCTGCATGAAGCATATCTTTATAATCTTTTGCATGTGTGTTTCTATTGCTCCTTTATCACAGATTGTTGCAGGTATTACAAAAACCATGCCATCTGCTTTCTATTTTTCCATAAAGTAGGGAATAGAAGTTAGTGCCATCAATCTGAATGTGTCTGGAAAAAGCAAGCTCTTTGGCGTGATTTTAACTCTGATGGAAAAGAGATATTCTGGTTAAATGAATCTCTAGCATGTAGAAAGATTGTATTGTGGCCTTCCTCTTTATGCTTGCAGAGATCCTTCCATTTATTGAAAATACAAATGGAATTCCGTGTTAAAAGCATAGGGAATTAACTCATCAGCTCTGCATTATAAAATAATAAAAGTAGGGCGGTCTTACAATTTTGACTGTCCTCCTCAAGCTTGAGTCAACCCACCAGTGGCATTATCTTCACTAGGTCCATTTAGAGCACAAGAGTGTTGGAACTAATCAAACTGCACACTAAGTTAAATAGTTAATTGGAGAAAAAGTATATCAGATGTTCATGAAAGAAAATTACATAATTTAACACAAGTGATTTAAAATTTCCAGAGGTTGTAAAACATGGAAAACCCTAGCTTTTCTTATTTTTGGAAAAAAAATGAAATATTTTTTTTAAAAAGAAAGAAAGCAAAAATTAACATGCTTTACAAATTCAGTCACTTACTGAACATAAGCTATATTATATATAACTTGGCTTGACATAAAATGATTGTGGGTAGCGTATGAAAAATATGGTTTATTCAGAAATAACTACAAACTGAATTTGCTTTTTAAAAATTTTGTTTGTGCCTTGAACTGTAAGGTATATGAAATGGAAGGGAGCCTCTTTGGTTTTGCCAGTATGAGGAGCAAGTGACATACAATTGAAACAGAAGAAAGCATCAATATTAGCAAACAAATACGTCTCCTTTAGTCCTCCAAGGTCAAAAAAGCACTCACTACCTAAGGTGGTGGTGAGGGATTTGAATCAAGAATATAGTAAATATAGATGAAGTTTAATCATCTCATTTTTGGAGATATTGCTATCAGCTTCAGTTTTTAATTCTACTTTAGCTTTGCCTTCATAATTGTTACAGACTTTTAAAAACTGAAGTTTTGCCTGGATTGAAACAAGTTTCTCTATCCTTTTACACAGCCATCTATTTCTTGATTTAGTGAGAATATTTTCAAAAAGTGGCCAGCTTCTTTCAGATGCTGCAGAAGATGAAGTAGGCAGTAATGAAGAGGCATCAGAGGCTGTGTTGTAAAAGGCTTTACCATGGTTTTGCAGGAGGGACACGTTTGGCAGAATCCTGGATTGCATACCTGAACCAAATCCCTGAAGATGTTCTGTATTCTACAACATATGAAAGTTCCTTTCATATATCATATCCTGAGTATGCTGCCTGTTCTGTAATCCAGTCAAATGCAGCAGCAGTGTTGTCATCACTTAAATTTCTGCCTTTGAATCTTGAATCCTGCAGATTCAGAGCAGCATGAATTGGGTGGAACAAAATTCTTCCTGTACCTTAATAAACCTTTCATTTTACTTTTTCTGTGCTTGTATGTGGAGAATGTCAAAAGAGTTGTTTTTGAGTTGGTAATTTAGCAATTCGGTTACTAAATTTAGTAGCCATTTAGTAATACTGTTACTGCTCCTTTATGTTATTCTAGACTTTCTCCCAGTCATTTGAGGCTTAGTCAAGAGGACAGAAACAGATCCACTAACTATACTAACAAGAGGAAGCCCACAGGCAAAGAAACTAAAATATTTTCCTATCTTGTGCTAATGGCTGTGACCCCAGACGCAAAAGCATCTTGCTCTTGCATTTGAGAGTTGTAGTCTAAGTTTACAATGTAGGATTTATTTGTTCTCAGTGCATGTTTTATTCATCAACCTGAAAGATAACATTCCATAACCCATTTTTCCTTTGTTTTAGGAAAATCAAAAGACTTTGGGGGAACAGTATTTTCTTAATGAATTATTTTTCTCATGAGCCTTCACATTTCTCTACTTGACATCCATACTTTCACTTGTCAACAGTGGTTCAACATACATACTTAGCAATTATGGCCAATCGGTGCACTGATTGAACTAAATACTTGAAGTAACCAGGATAGCTATTACAGTGACTGAGACATCTGAAGCAGATGCCCAGGAAATACTGCTACTCTGCCTGCCATGTTTGGCTACTAACATAGCCCAGTGTGACTGCAGTTTGGTTTAGCAGGGTTGGACAACAAAACAACATCAAATAGAAATATAATAAACGCACACTTGTAACACCTTTACTATATGGCAGACATGAGAAACATGTTTTAATTGGGGAGAGGGGTTAAGGTGCTCTCCACCATGCCCTCCACAGACTAAATGATATTTATCAGCAGAACTGCACCCTGACATTACAGACAATGTACCACCCACTTTCTCTGTGCAGAGAGAGGCACAAAGGAAAGGACTCCAGCCAAGTCCCAGACTGTGTGCACGGTGCATTGTCCCATTGAGATAGCGTTCAGGAAGCAAATAGACTTAGATGGCACTTCTTCCTGGTGCTGGCCACATCTCCTGGTGCTAGCATCCAACCTGTTACCTCCAAGGGAGGGGGTGCAATGCACAGAGGAATCCCAGTCTGTGAGAACAGTGGGGATATTTCTATGGGCTGGGTCTTGAAGGCCCTTTCCTGCTTCCTGGAGGAATCTAAGCAGGTTCCACAGCCTGAAAGTTCCCCAACCCTGCTGTATGGGATGGCAGGAGAGGACCAGCAATCTCTGTTTCCCAAGTATGTCATCCCTAGGATAAAGCAGCGCTGGCAGGCTAATCCATCTTTAGTAATAGTAGTAGCCTTTGCTAGTTGAAGTGGTTACCCCTTCCTGCCACTATGCACTTATGTAACACATGACATGGAAGCTTGACATGGAGGGTCATAAATGTGTGATTTGGTGTTTGCTCAGTCTCACTGCCATTTTTGCTTAAGGTGAAAAATTATGCGGGTCAGGCCTCCATCCTCCAGGTACAAATTGCAATGTGGAGCTCCTACCTTTACATGCATAGTGCCGTGCTACTATGTAAAGAAGGAAAGTTATCTGGATAAGTCTGTCTAGTTAAGATTGTGTTCACTGCTGAATTTCATTGGTAAATATGTTTTAATTTTTCTTATACAGGTCTCTCAGCTGGGATGGTTGGAAAGGAAAACTGCTTCTGCTTTGTATGAAGAACCCCCTACAGCAAGTGTCCAAGATGCACTGCAGAACTTCTTAAAAGTATTAACAATTGGGCAAAACACTGAACTAGCTAGTGTAATAACTTTGCAGAAACTAGAAGCAGAAGTACCCAGAGCATTGGACGCTTTCAGCTCCCCCATTTATACACCTGTAGTGCTGTCAAGCACATGTGAACAACAGTAAGGGCAGCTGCCATGTTGTGCTTTATGCCTAAATAGAGTGGTACTCTGAAGTAGTTATCCATAAATGCACTATGCTTAAGAAAGTGTTGGATGCAATAAGTTTACTTTAGTGAACACCACGAGTTTCATAACTAGTATCCTCCCACCCCTCCATAAGTTGTTTTCTTTCAGGGTAGAGAGTTATATCTCCTTATTGAAGGATAAGATAGCTCTGACTTAGGAATCTAGCTTATTTCCCCATGTCTGAGAAATAAGTAGTTGGGTTCCTCTTCAACAGTTTCTTCCCCGCCATGTTTGTGGCATTCTAAAGTCTATACTTTCCCATTATCTGCTCTCCTAGCAGGTTTTGGTATGTGAAGTTCATTATAAGACTTCTGGGGGCAAAGGATGTAATTGCTCAGAGCAAATCCTGCTTCCTCCATTTGCAGAGAGACGGTTCTGAGTTGTTCTTGGCTGCTTGTCCCCAATGGCTGATCTCATCTTCCAACTGAGGCTTCTTTTGTCCCAGAGGTCCCTCCTCCTCTCTGCTTTCCTTTGTGTTCCCTAACCCCACCCCTATACTTGGCAGTCATCTTATCACTGGCCTCTCCATCTAGCTGCCTATTCCAGATTCTTCAAATATTTCTGGCTTGACTTTTCCATCCTGCCTTTCCACCCCCTTTTCATCTCTGCTTCCTTCTCATCCTGCCTGTTAATCTGCAGCTGTGGCATCTTTGTTCCCATTTGGAGCCTTGAGGAGCCAGTCAGTCCTGGTAGCTCACAATACCTCTGTATAACTTCAACTGCAAATCAGTTATTATGACTTTTTAGAACAACTCTTTTGTTGCGTTCTGGTCAATTACCTAAGTTAAAAATTAGCAAAAGTTAGTTTACTGTCTACTTTCTTACAGTATTCAGTCTCTAATTCTGATGCCCAAGAAAAAAGCAGCTTAAGTTTTTATGGTGGTTTATTGGAGAAAGCAAAGGAGACCTTTTTCTCCCTCTTCTGTAACACTTGAACCTGAGGTCATCCCATGAAGGTGATTGGTGGGAGGTTTAGGACAGATAAAAGCAAGTTCTTCTTCACATAGCGTATAATTAAACTATGGAATTCATTGCCAGGAGGATGGCCACCAATCTGAATGGCTGTAAAAAGTCTTCCCGTTGTATTGTTTTTCTCTATTTCTTTGCAGTGTTCATTTATGAAGGCCTTTTTATCTCTCCTAGCTCTTTTCTGGAAATCTGCATTCAGTTGGGTATATCTTTCCCTTTCTCCCTTGCCTTTCACTTTCCTTCTTTTCTCAGCTATCTGTAAAGCCTCCTCAGACAGCCATTTTGCTTTCTTGCAAATCTTTTTCTTTGGGATGGTTTTAGTTGCTGCCTCCTCTACAATGTTACAAACCTCCATTCATAGTTCTTCAGCAATTCTGTCTACCAAATCTAATACTTTATTCTAAATCCTGGTGAGCTAAAGGGGCACAAATACTGCTTCCAGCTGAAAGTCCTTTTGACTAAAAGGAATGGGCCTTGAAATAGTCAATTGCATGTGACATGGTGGTTAAACTCACCACCATGTTGATAGCCCAGATGAATGCCCAGATGAATGCAGCTGTTGTATTCAAAAACTCACATAGTGTCAAGGCAGTTTCAAGAAACCTCAACTTATGGTGGTACTGGCTTTTGTGGCAAGTAGTTTTATCAGATATATAGAATGGTGTGTAATATGTATTGAGATAGTAAGCCTGCAGGAAGTTCCTCTATTGAACATAATTTACATACAACACCTAGAATTTTAAATATATTTCCCCCTAAATCAGTTTGCTTTGCAAGTAGTCCAAGGCAAATTCTGTTTCCTTGTACATCAGCTGAAACATTGTTTATTACTCATTTACTTGCAAAACAGCAGAGGTTATTGTGCTACCTGTAAAGACTAATACATTTGCTGGTCTTTGTGCAACTAACATAGTTCTGCCTTTAGATGTTTTTGCTTCCTGCTTGTTAAATACTTGCTTATTGACATACACTTATGGACAGTACAAGCTCTATAATCAGAGTTATGTATAAAAGTATTTGAAGTACTCAAGTCAACATGACAGAAATATTAATTTAATAGTTCTAATATTTTGCAGTTACCTATTAGAGCAAGGGAGGAGAACAGAATTGGGGTTGGGGAAAATGGGGATGAAAATCCTCATTATATGCAATCGTTGATACACTCCTGGTTGCAAGGTTTGGGCGGGGGGTGAGGGAAGCCCATGGAGGAAAACAAATGCTGGACTTAGGTCTGCGCTCCAGAGGTTCCACTCCCCTGCATTAGAGTATGGACTCTTTCTGTCAATCATAGAGTTAAATTCATTAGCCTGAGTCTTTGTGAAATCTTTATTTTTCCTTTGCCTATCCTTGCAGGCTGAAGACCTGAGCAATGGTTTTTCAAAAATGGGAAGAGTATATATTGCCAAGGTATGTTTCCTATCTAACAGTGTATGCATACATCAGGTGTTTCTAGCTGGATTCCTTTGTATGACCATAGAAAGCCATCTCATGCTGAGTCGCCCTGTTCATTTACAAATTTGTACTCTTCCCTGGCAATGCATGTGCATCACTTTGGATTGCTGTTTACTCATTTAACTCCAGTATATTTACTTGCACTGGCACAATTCAGAAATACTTCAAAACCCTGTAAATCAAGATTTGTTTAACAGGAGATGCCAAGGCTCTACCATGCAAAGCATGTACTCTGCCACTGACGTATGACCCCTATCTCCATGGTGTAGAAGACAGCTAAGCAAAATGCTCACATAAAAGCTTGAATATTTAATCCGGAGTAACTCAGGGGGGAAATGGTTATATTTTATGTGTATATGTTAATTTTAAATAATATGCAAGTTACAGTTTTGCTCATGCTTACCATACAGGATAAACTTAATCATTGGATAAAGGAGCCAAGCGGGATTAGATAAAAAAAATGGAATATGAAACAGTTACATACTTTTTAGGATTGTTTTGTTAGCAAATGAAGAAAAGTACTTTCTCTTAAACTCTGTAATCCTTCTGCATGTCTTTTAGGATCGTAAAATTTTGTTGGTGGGGTACCTCATCAGATATGTATTTTGCTTGTTTATACAAGATACATTTTCCAGTTACCTTTCTTTCAAAAGAGAATGGAAGAAGACTATACAGACGGACAAGACAACAACTGAGTTCACAGATGAGTCATCATGGGTTGTTTCTAAGGCTGTGCAAATAGAGAGAAATATGCTCTGATATTAGGAGTTTGGGGCAGCTTTTGCTCTGCCTTGCATTGATTTGTAGACACAAAATTTGCACAAATGTATTTGTGCAGATTTGCCCTGCAAAAATGTGCATATTGGCCAAAAATGGGCAAAACCTGCATAATACATATTTTCATGCTTTATGAGCACCTTTCATTTTTTATTTTGTGTGTGTTCTCTACAGCTAAATCTGTGCAAAAATACAGAATTTTAAAAAACAACAGCAACAACACAAAAATCAGTCTGCACAATCTGAGAAAGCTGATCTATTAAACATTCCACAGAGTGGATTCCAAGAAATCTTTATTCATTTGAACCCAAATATCCCTATTTCTTATCCATGATGGATTATTATGTGATGCAAACCTGAACAGATTCCTGAACGGATTCCTTGTTGTTTGAAGCAACAAACCACCCTGATAACCCCTGGGTTGTTCTGGGCTTGTTGTACCCATAGTAGGTTGTGCCATCCAAACCCAGGCAAATTGGTCACCCAATCTACTTAGCAAAAACAGGAAAAAAAACCCTTGATGCTTTTGCCAAGTGTGCCTGGCCAGCCACCAATGTCAGATACTTTGCAAGTGCCCAAGTGGCGCTTAGGGGCAGTTGGCATGGCTTGTTTCCATCACTGCAAGCTGTTTTCTGCTCATCATGACTTTTTTAACCTTTTTGCCTGGTTTTTTATTCTTGGACATTATGGAGTCTGCTTCACAGCCTGTTTTTGTGCTGCATGTTTTGACAATTAGTGACAAAGCTCTCAAAGAGCTCAAGTGGTGGTTTGGAGGGACTGTCAGTGGTTGGCAAACATATTTTTTGCATGCACATTATATACAAAAGTTTCATTTTATTTAAGAAAAAAGTAGCTGCACCTGTGCAGCAGTGGAAATTGGGACACTCAGTTGGGTAGCATGGCGGGGGGGTGTACTTCCTATCAGAGTGCAAACCTGGACACTGGTCCCCAAAAGCCCAAATAGGCCATTTCTTCCCTTTGCTTTCTCTCAATAGCTGTCAGAAGGCAAGCTGTGAAGGGAAGGTGCAAGTGATCTTATATTTCAGAAATGGGTTGCAATGATTTACATTTCCCTTCATGGTGAGATTTTTTTCTTTTTCCCTTTTCCCTGAAAGTTGTCACATTGATACACATCTTGCAATTTCTCTCCAGACGTCAGCTGTTTAAGAAGGTGTAAAAGTGCATGCCATTCCCTTTTTTGAGGTTAAAATGGAGTTTTGACAGTACAGTGGGATTTTTTCTTTTATCAAGAAGTATCTGCATTAAAACATAAGAATTTCACCTCAGATCAGTATAAATCTCTGCACTCTTTTTGCAACAAAGGTCATTTGTGCCCTCGCTTTCTATTGACAGCTTACTACCTGACAGCTGTCGAGAAAGCAAAGAGATAAAAACGTGTATTTGGGCCTTCTCTGAATCAATGTTCATGCTACATTCTGACAGCAGATACCACCCTGACATTGCCAAACCAATGGCCCTGATTTCCACATTTGTGCAACTGCAGCTAAATTTAACAATCATCATCCATTATCTGTTTTTTGGAGAGGGTGCACATTGTATGTGTGTGCACAAAAATTTTCCCACCACTGAGAATTCTGTGGTGGTCACTTGCTGTCAAAACGAAAATGCAGTTGTCAAGCCAGACATTGTGATCTCTAGAAAAGAAAAAGCAATGAGCAAAAAAGCTTTAGTGAGCCCAAATGGGCTTGTGTTTGGAGCAGTGAGGCAAGCTGATCTTGCAGTGGTGTCTACTGGGCTATCCAAAGGAAAACTGAGGGGAAAAGAGGGGACAAACAACCCACGGTGAGCGCAGTAGTCTTCTGGATGTACCATGCATTGTTTACAGAACAACCAACCCACAGTACCTTAATTGCCAGGTATGCTGGCCTGACTTTGAACACACCAAACATGCCTGTCTTTCTTTCTGCCAGACTTATGGTAGGCCGAAGCTATGCCTTTTCACTCACACATTGGCTGACTTGCACAAAGGATCTGGTCAATGTTCTACTAGAACAGTTTTCAAGTTTTAAAACAGGTGTCCTCAAACTTTTTCAACAGGGGGCCAGTTGAAAGGTGCTGGGGGTGGGCACGGGCCGCCAAGGCAGTGCCAGCAGGAGGTCGTGCGCATGGCAAGCGGGGGTGGGGGACGGCTTGCTCACATGGGGATCGTTTTCTCTGAGCAAGTCCAAATCGATCTCCCTGCAAGCAAGCTGCAGCTGGGCGCATGCACAGTGAGGCACCGGCTTGCTTGCAAGGAGATCGTTTTCTCCAAGCGAGTCCAAAACTCTCCGTGCAAGCAAGCCATGTGCCTGCAAAACCTCTGGGGCGGGCCAGTTAAATGGGCATGGCGGGCTGGTTCCGGGCCGTGGGCTGTGGTTTGAGGACCCATGTTCTAAAATATAACTGCTTTGTACTGTACCTGTGACCTCTAGTTGGATCCTATGTTCAGTATAAGCCAGAGTGCTTGCAAACCAGAGATGAGGCCAGTCAAGATCTGTGTTTGGTCCCTGTTAAATCTTTCTAGCTCCAAAGCGATCTCATTTTTATTTTCAAACTTAAGAGTCTGTATCTGGCTTGGAATTTATTAGAATCTGAAGTTGTGGCTAATTTCCTTTCTTGTTTCCTTGCTGTTAAGTCTTCTGTAAAACTGGAATATTGATGTCTAGTGATATGAATTACATAATTTCTAGTGACATAAAGGTAGAAGAGTCAAGAAAGTACAGGAATTTGTACTTAAGTTATTTGTATGATATTATAGTGGGTTGTTTTTTGTATCATATATGAACAGGATGTGTTCCAGACTGTATTACCTCTCATACACAAATTAACATGACCTTTCATTTATAAATATGTGTCAGGAAGACTATACAGATGCTTCTGTTATCTAAAATGTTTCCCTATGTACTTTAAAAAAAAAGACTTGATTGATATATTTTTCAGTTTTGGTGCATGCATCTTTTTTCATGCAGAGAGCTGGCTTTTACTACAGCTTTTACTAATACCAGGGTTACATATCGCACTATTGTATTAACCCTAGTATATATTTCTTCTGACTAGTATTTATGCTACACTTTATATCTAAGTTGGGATTCTGGACTGCTTAAATTTCTTCATGATGACACACATAGACACTCTTAACTTTTTTGTTTCTATATTTAATTTGCATTTTGTGTTTTTGAGAAAAATTATAAAAGGTTGTTCATGCGGAAAATGTTTTTTCCTTACTATTATTCTACATTATTAATCAAGGTGTTTTGTTGATAATAGTGAAATACGTTCCCGAATGGATGAGACAGACTTGAGCTTTGTTCAGTTCTGATGAAGGAGGGTTGGATACTAAGGTTCCCTTATGCACATACAGTGGTGTGGGAACACTTTCAGTGTGATGCTATTCAGTGCGCTAGAGACATAAATTACATAAAAATGTCAGCAGTAGTGATTGTTAGGTCATATTATTCTCCCTGCATGTATTTATCTGCAAGATTTATATACTGCTACTTATTTCAGTATGGAGATTTCAGAGCGATGCATTGTTGGATTGTACTGTGCTATTGGATGTGCAGGTGAAAAACAGTCTACATTGTGGCTGTTTAAAAATGGTCAGATTTTACAGAATGGCAGTGAAAGGTAATTCTTCACTCCTCATTCACCTGCTTCTTTATTGTTGTTGTGCATTGATATGGTAACTTGTTCTTGTAAGGCTTCAGGCAGAATTTAACTGTGAGGCAAGAAATGAGATGATGATTTTCTCATATAAGAATGCATGGTTGGGTATGGGAATTTGACTTGCATATGAACATTTGAGAGAGCAAGGCAAGCCTTGTAATTCATCTCTTCCTCATGTAAATGTGGAAGCTTATTCTGGCATTTTTATCTGACATAGACCTTCTGTGTGTGTGTGTGTCATAAATCAGACAAATATTTCATTGCTGAGGCATTGTCTAGTTGAACAGTTTCTATTCTAAAACCACAGTTTCCTCTACTGAATTTTTTACTGCCTCTGGTCTCTCCTTTCAAACCTATTAACACATATTCTGAGTATCTAAACCCATGCTCAGCTCAATAGGATATGTGGATTTGCAGATAACTTAGAAGTGAGCACAGTTCATACTAAGTTGACTCTGGAATACCAGGTGAGCTCTGTGGCCAGGAGTGCCTTTTATCAGCTTTGGTTGACTTTCCGACTTTGTGCCTGTTTGGGAAGGCAAAACTTGGCAACAGTGATCCATGCCCTGGTAAGCTCTCGTTTGGACTACTGTAACACGCTTTATGTGAGGCTGCCCTTAAAAAACACTCCAGATACTTCAGGTGGTTCCAAATAGAGCAGGTCGCCTCTTGACAAGAACCTGGAGGCATGAGCATATAACTCCAGTGTTTATACCACCTAGACCGGTTGCCAAGTGAAGTTTGGGGGCACTTTATTTATTTATTTTAAACATTTGCATGCTTTTAAACTTCAGGGTACTTACAATGACATATAAGGCCCTAAGCAGTGACCTAGATATCTGATAGAATGGCTGCTACCATACATGCCTGCCCCAGGTTATCATCAGAGGTCCTTCTTCAGGAGCCATCTGTAAAAGATATAAAGATGGTATCTAGTCAGAGAAGGGCCTTCTTGGCTTTGGAACCAGCTGCTTTGAGAGGTGCTTTGAGAGTTGCTTTGAGAGATGTGCTATACTTTTCAGCACCAGGCAAAAACCTTTTATTCTCTCAATATTTTAACTTTTGAAATTCTATATTTTATTTTATTTTATCTTACTGGATTTTGACACTGTGAATGTGAAATGTTTATTTTGATTTGTGATTGATTGTAATTATTTTTTTGTTTGTATGGTTGCTTCTATATTCAGTTTTTATTGTTATGGAATAATAATGCCACTGTTACTGAGCTGCATATTCCCCTTTTTACTTGTTTTGATTTTGGGATTGTTATTGGTTATCTTATTGTATTGATATTTTGTATTTTAATGTAAACTGTCCTGAGAATAATTTGAAGGTTACAAACATGCTTTAAATAAATAAATAAAATACCACAAAAATACCCTAAAAGGAGGAATGAAGCTCAAACTTCCCTATGCTAAAAATGAATTTCCAGTCTATCGTGTGCTTGCCCTATTGTGTTTAGTGGGACTTACTCCAAGGTTACTCTGCATGAGCTTAAACTGTTGATTAGATGTTCTGTACAACAGTAAGGCATATTCTTGCCAAGGAAAGGCTCTGAGACAAGATAATGAACATTTCAGTTAATGAATATTAGTGTCTGAAAAGATAATATGTACTTGTTGGTAGGATATGTGTTTCAGTGAAAAGTTCTGCTTTAATGTTTTTTCTCCCTTCTCTTATAGTGCTACAGGGAACTGGGGGATAACTCTACAGCTGCTCACTGGCTGAGTTTGGCTTCGGAGCTGCCAGTTATCACGAAAGAGGTAATATGTGTGATTCATGTATAGCTACAATAATTAATTTATAGAGCAATCCAGATGGGGATAGGGAAGTGGTGGCAGATGAACTACAACTTCCTTTGCCTTACCAGGCTGGTACCAGCAAGGTGGAAGGTGGAGGGCAGGAATTTCCCTCGTCCTCATCTTCTATTGTTCTTTTCTAGCTTATTTCCTTTTTGTACATTTATGAGGGGCATTCAATGTAATCTCAGTATCAGCATGAAGAAAAGGGAATAATAAATTGAAATAATTTTTATTTTTCAATGTAATCCCCCATAGCTTCAATACACTTATTACATCTAGAAATTAACTTTTCAATTCCCTGTAAAAAATACCCTTCCTCCTTGTCTAAAAAATGTGCGTTAATTGCCACCTTGAGCTCTTCATCGTCGGAAAATCACTTTCCACGAAGATCTTTTTTTAAATTTGGGAATAGGTTGTAGTCACTGGGGGCCAGGTCCGGGCTATAGGATGGGTGGTTTATTTCTTTGAAACCACAGTCTCGCACAGCAGCCTTCGAAACACGCGCCGTGTGAACAGGTGCATTGTTGTGAAGAAGCAACACACCTGCGGTCAGTTTTCCCCGCCTTTTTTCTTTAATTGCTTCTCTTAAATTACTCAGAGTGGTTGCGTAAGATGCTGTGTTTATGGTTTCACCTTTTTTCGTGTGCTCGATCAATAAAATTCCCTTTGAGTCCCAAAACACTGTGGCCATGATTTTTCCAACTGAGGGAATGACTTTGAATTTCTTCGGAGGGTCAGCACCATTTTTATGCCACTGCATGGACTCCTGCTTACTTTCAGGGTCATAGTGATGAACCCAGGTTTCATCTCCAGTAACAATCCGGTCAAAAATACTCGCTGGATCTTCACCATAGAGCTCTAAAAACTCCCTACAGCACTCAACTCGCACTTGTTTCTGAGGCACCATGAGCATTCTTGGCACCCATCTTGCACTTAACCTTGAAAGGTTAAGATGGTCATGAAAAATATAAATATGGTACCAACGGATAAGTTTGTCATCTCTGCTAACATTTTGATTTTTATTCGGGCATCTTCCAATACAAGTTTTTCAATTTTTTTTCACATTTTCTTTCGTAGTGGCAGTAACCAGCCCACCCGAGTGAGGGTCGTCTTCTGTGCTTTCTCTGCCCCTTTAAATTCACTTGACCACTTTTGAACAGTAGATAATGAAGGCACAGAGTCCTGGTAAATGGCCACCATCTCTTTGTGAATGATTGTTTGACTTTTTCCTTGTTTTGTAAGGAACTTAATCACAGCGCGGTGCTCAATTTTCTTCAACATTGTCACGTCAGTCGTTGTGGTCGTCTTTCACTGAGGATTACTAGGGAACTAATGAACACACTTATTTGAAATTTTACATGTATACCCTCAGATAGTGCCATTAGCTAATGAAATAATTAAATTACCCACATCAATAGCAAATCAACCCGATACCGAGAATACATTGAACGCCCCTCATACTTTGCATTGCTGTCAGTGAGTGGGGTATACAGCCTGCCAGCTGCAGGCTTGTTTATTCTGCATCTTTCCTCTCGCCTGTCCCGGGAATGGGAGGGTCCTGAAGAGCAGTGATGGTGGCTTTTCCCATGACAGCATGAGCAGGCCTTCTTCTGTGCCTAGGCAATCCCTTTTCTAGGGACACCATATAAAGCCAAGTTCCAATTTTTTAATCCTTTTTTTCTGTTCAGTTTTCTTTAAACATTTGGAGCAGTTTTTAAATTAAAATACAGTTAACATTAAGACAAAACCTTTCCTCAGCTTCATTTTTAATTACATAAACCTGAATTGCAGTGCTACATAGTAATCTGAGCTCTTAAGTTATTTTGCAGTTAATAAAAACGGCTAGATTGGGACAACGGTGAGATCTGCTCAAGCCCTGTCAGAGATTTTTTTCAAATTGGGATGTATAGTTTAAGCTAATATTCCCACACTCTGCTTTGAGAGCTTTACTTTTTGAAAGATCTGCAGGAAAGAGGTGGTGGGTTGTATGCCATGGAGGATGATATTTGCAGCAAAGTTAACTGAAGACCAATAAATTCAGTTTTTGCTACTTTTTCTGTAGCAGGGTCTATAAATAGTCTAGATCCATCCCCCACTAGAAAACAGCTGACTATCATTGCCCCCTGACTATCTATGGGGCTATGGAGTTTTGTTTTTTCCTTGTTGCCAGTGATCTTCTAAACAGTACATGGGGTGAGGGGGAACATTTCCCTGTTCCTGGAACTAAACTGTAGGCTAATCCCTTTTCCCTCCTGCTTATCTATTTTCTGACGATGCAGGGAGGTCTGACTGGGGGAGGTCATAAGGAAGGCATGGAGCTTGGCAAGTCAATTGGGAGTAACTGTAGACCACAAGCTTCCTGCTGCTCCAGACTGATAGATTCAGCTCAGGTTCAGCATGTACTCTTCCCATAACCCTAGGGTAATGGTTTTACTTTCAGGGAATAGACCCATAGAGCAGCTTCAGTAAATCTGTTTTTCTGGGCTGAGTGAACAGTGTATTCCTCTGGGGAATGAGTGCCTGGAGTACTGGAAAACGTACATGGGAATCTTGGACATGGAAATGGTAACTCATTGGCTTGAATCTAGAGAAGGTTTGTCAATCTGCTCATACAAACAGGGCTTTCCTGGCTCTTTCCACCAGGATAGCCCTCTGTGTCACGCAGAAGTTTCTGAGGTTCAATGGACCTTCAGGAATAGGTTCGGATGGAGCATAAGGGGCTGCAGCAGAACAGAGAAACTGAAAGAATTTGACAGGGCTTCTCTTGAGTGAGCAGAAGTAATTTTCTGTTAGCAGAAGATGTAACTGGATCCAAGCCATTGTTAAAATTCAATCACTGCAAAATGTTTCATGAGATTTTACAGGCAGGTGGAAACTGTATATTAACAAGCATTTTAAATGAGCACTTAGCAAACATTGAAATTGACCACATCCAATTAATAATTCAGGCCTCAGTATTGGCTGTAAAAAAAAGTCGAACATTGTACATGCTCCTGTTTCCCTACCTTTTCCTTCCTGGGAATGAGCCTTATAAATGTATTTAAAACCACTAATCCTTGCTTAAAAATTTGAACCGCTCGCCATCTCTGCAGCGTTTCCAAAATCTGGCCTTTCCTAACTGCACCTACGTTTAATGCTAATATCATTGCTCATCCTGGAGTATTGTAAACTCACTGCTGTGAGACTTGCTCCTGCTATTCTTTACTCAGTTAAGAATCTGTTAGCTCCTTTGCTAAGATCGTATCCCTTTTTAATATACTGACACCTTGCTGTGCTCTGTGAGTTTTTCAGATGTCTTATCCGTACAATTTGAAATATCACCTGCCTTTTATTTCTCTACTTTCATTCCCACCTTTGTTATTGGTCCCCTTTACATTGCATTCTGCCATGCTACTCCACTTGGAATTGCTTCATCAAGCTGTCTCCCTCAGTACTCCCATTTCTTTAGTTAGCCAGCCCTCTTCTTTAGTTAAGTCACCCAGGTCTTGTTCCCACATTTAACTGACTTGGTCAACATTATGGAGTGATCAATTTCTCCGTAGAAATGACAGTGTTTTCAAACAATCTTATATGAGTTGTAACAGCGCTTTGTAACTTCAGCCTGTCAGTTATTCATACAACTTTGTATACAGTCAAGTATCTTGCATACCAGACATTTCTGGCACCTCCAGAGCAATACACAGCACTGTACTAGCAAGTCTGCTACTAAACGTTGCCAAATCTAAGCAAATGGGTGTCAAATTTAAGAATTCCAGTCTCTGAACAGGAAATTTTGGATTCATCAATTCAGGCAAAAATGCCTGATACACATGGCTACTGGAAGAAATTTTGTCAAAAATATGTTTTGGAAAACCAGTTTCCACATTTGGGGAGCTAATGTGTTATTTGTTAGCTTTATATCTTGCTTTTTTTTCCTTGCCCTGAACTCAGAGTGGCTTACATCATTCTTCTCCTGCTGTGCTCAGTCTTATCCCCACAAAAGGCCTATGAGGTAGGTTGGGCTGTGAGTGACCCAAAGTCACCCAGTTGGCTCTATGGCCATGTAAGAACTAGAACCACATTGCCTGAGTCCCAGCCCCACACTCAGCCACTGCAACACACTGGCTCACATAGAATGTATCTTAATGAAAAGCAGGATTGAGTTCCATGGTGGTTACTTGACTGTCACCACTTAGGGAACATAATATTTGTTTCTGTAAACCACAAGAGGCAAAGGCCAGGTCTTTTTTCATGCGCTACCATGTTGATTAAAATGCAGGCAAACATGGAATAAAAGGGAAAGCAACTACTACTGGAAACAGTTAATGTTTAAGAACAAATGCTCATCAGGATATTTTAACGAATCTGAGCGCAGTGCACAGGAGGGATCAAAGGGACGCTAGGCTTTCTATTTCATATAATATATAGACTGTTTGAAGAGAGTAGCAGAAGAATTAGGAATTCTTTTGCTTCACTTCACTTAGCTTCGCTTCTACAGGGCTAGGAAGAAAATGCTGATCATCAGAATTGTATAATTTTGAAAATGGGATTAGTCATAAACTTTGTTTTTCTTCATTTCTCCAGGATGCAGAATGCAACAGAGAAATAGAAGAGATGCAGGCAATTTCAGAAGACTAAGCAAGTTTAAAGTTCCCATACTTAAAAAGCATTTGTGTCTGAGTGGTGGCAGTTCCATTTCACAATCATGATTACCCTTACTTGGCTTCATGAACAAGCCACAGAAAGCAAAAAGCAAACAAACCAAACCAAGCTGCAGTTTCAGCAGTATTTTCTCAAAGATATTTGCTAGCACTACCATAATGGTTAAATAATGTAATCCATTTCCCTTGTTGTTTAATCAGATGGTCTGGTTAACTCCTATGCTTAACTGTTCTCAAAACAGAAGGCACCAGTTTGATTCGTATTTTTTCATTTTCAGACATATTCACCACTCAGGCACTACCAAGTCACATTAATTGCATCTCTTCCTGTAGTAAGATGGAGTCAACATGTCATTACATATGCTGATCCTACTTGCATAAAATGTTAGAAATTATTTTTAGAAAAAAGTGCAGTGTTAGATGTGATATGGAACAATAATGCACAAGATCTCACTTTTTATATTAGAATCAGAGGAACATTTTTACAGTCATATGCCCCTTTATACATGTATTATATAGGCCAGATAATGCCGATATATTTACTTCTACCTAGCAATAGGGGATGGAATTCAAGGTTAAATGAAGAAAACTGCTGAGGAAAGCCTTTCACATCACCTCTCCTGGCACTGCAGTCCCAGGCTGCATCTCCCTAGTGGCTGCTTTGATATAAAATGTAAAGGGACTATGAGAGTTCTTGATTGATCCCCTGTATTTTATCTAGTTTAAAATGAACATGTGAGATGATTGTGGATTTTTCAGCCACAAATTTATGTTCTTTCCTGCTTAATCAGTGGGCACACTGTTTCATGTTTTCCTCCTGTTGAAAACTGTTTGTTGGCTGTGTACAAAACCAAGTACATAATGACATAACAATTCACAGGTTTTCTTGCCCACTTGCTGTTTCTCATTTACACCCAGATCTCATTATAAACCAAAGACGCCCTAGAGTTTTAACCCATTTTTAAAAGACTGGTTTGTTTCTCCTTGAACAATTCAGAGTTCTAGGTTTATCCCAGAACTAGGAACAGAATATTTCAGTGTTGTTTTGTAATCCAGATGCACAGTTGAAGCTGGTGTGAAACAGAGCACTCACTCCTTTGTGGCCAACAGTTCATGAAACATCTTTACTTCTGAACAAATGTCTGATTCAAATATATGAATCAGAATGGTCCAAAGAGGAAAACGGTAAAATCTACTGTGCATTGGTAAATACTATATAGAATCTGTTTTCCTTCAGGATGTGGGTTACTGTCCACCTTTATAGCATGGTATTAGGAATCCAATTTCAAACAGTTAATTCTCCAAAAGTTGTAATTCTACTGCCCCCGTAGAAATAACTTGTAAAAATATTAATTGTGTCCCAAATCCAGTGTGTCTTTTTGCATATTCAAAAAACTTCATATTACTACTTCAATATGGCATCTGGTAATGGTGTTTGCAGAATTTGTAAGAAGAAACCAGTGGAATTGAGGAAGGGAGAGTCTTGATACAGGAAACCTATTAAAATATCATACTAATATTGGATACAGCCCTTTCTAAAGAAATCCAACAAAATCTGAGGCCTTTTTTTGCAGAGAAGCAGACTATTCAAAAGAAAATAGTTTTACTAGTACTAATCTTTCAAGATTCTAGGTGCAAGTCTTCAGTTAAAAAAACAAAACCCAACTGCTCCCCTTTTAATTAAAAAAATAGGATTAATTTTGAGGCCTAATAATTTTCAAAGAATCTTTTTCTCTAGTGATATATAGATATTAGTGCATGTGCGTGTGTGTGCATGTGCATATGTGTAAACTGAAAATTCTGTTATTTGAACCAAAAAATAGGTTACAAATGAAATTTCTCTGTTTTAAAGCTTTTGTCCAAAATGAACATATGGACGCTTGATGTTTGGTTTGGGGTAATAATTTGTCTTAGTTCCAAGTCTTGGTCCTGTATTTCAAATTCCTGACAATTTTAGTGAAATTGGTCTTGAGGCTTTTAGAATTAGGCCTTGAAAAAAACCGGTTGATGTAACCCAGCAGCTTTCAAATCCTTCTCATGAACCAATTGAAAATTGCTGGGGGTCTCAGTGGACCACTTTGGTTCTACCACTCAAAGCATGTAGCTCATATTTTAACCTTTTTCTTCAGCACCTGTATCATTGTCAGACCCAGCGCCATGTTGTGAAAATCATGTGCTCTAGCCTAGGCTGCTGAGAGAGGCACTTTGAATTGGTTTTTTAAAAGAGAAAAATTAACAGGACACTGATATAGTTTATGGTGAAAATGATTGGGCCTTGTAAGTCTTTTAAGTAATCTTTTCCAAGGCAAAACAGCCTGACTCTTCACCTGAAATAATAGATCTAGTGCAGGGGCTATATAGAGAGATTCTTCATTTTCCATAATCATTTCTGTAGGCCACCTGAGAGCCGCTAATTGGAGCCTGGGTATTTCAGTCCAGGTATACAAATGTAACTGATAAAAGCCAATGATGTTCAACTGCTCTGCACTGTCTGGACCCACATTTTGGCTGTTCATTAGAGCAGGTGCTGTGACAGCATCACTGGTTCACAGCTTTCTTCAGTAATCAGGGAAAATGGGTGCATTGCATCCAGGATGCCCTGGAGATTGTTTCTTCTTCATGGAAAAGAAAGCTTAGTTTGACTAACATTTGATAATTTTCTATAGGATGAAATGCTTAGGAGAAGTGTATGAATTGTTAGTTGGTGACCAAAGTATATTTTCTGTGAGTGCTGCTTTTAAAAACAATGCTCTTAAAGCATTTACAGGAGCTGAGGACTGTAACAAAAGCTGCAAGCCTGTACTCTTTTCCTTAAAAATAATCTCAGTGGGTCCAGTGGTACTTAGTTCTGGTAAATCTGTAAAGAATTGCAGTGTAAATACAGCTTCTTGTTTTTACCACGTATTGACATTCCTATACATTGAGAATTTTGATAGAGTGGATGAATTTGCATTCCATGGCAACCCATCCTGCAAACAAGCTATTAAGTAGTGCAGGTTGTTCATGGAACAGCCTATGGTGGGTCTATCAAACAATTAGGCTCATTGTGGGTTGTCCCTCAGTCCTTCCTCCTGGGTCCTCCACTTCATATTCAATGGGGCTTGGGGTCTTCCCCCTGCTGCAGTTATGACCCATTTTATGTTCACCACGACCTTTCCCCCTTTTATCCTTTCTTTTTTGGAGATCACAAAAGAAGGAAGCATGATACCTTTAAATTATTTTTAAGCACAAGGAAACGTAATTCAAAAAATCAGTCGGTCTTGCATAACTAAAGAGGGATGGGGGTTTGCAGTGGGCAGGTTTGCCTGGGCAAAGCCCTTGGATGTGCCTGCTGTCAATGTGCAATAAGTCCAAGCATGCATATTGACTTAGACAAGCTCTAAAAGGCCATTTTGACTTAAAGCTCTCTTGGCTGCTCACCTTTTGAGAGTTGTCAAGGGAAAGCAAAGCTGCTTGCTATACTTCATGTAAGGGGGTAAGAAGCAGATAATCCCCTTCACAGCAAGATCCTCTAGTTTCTTGGTTGGACCCAACTTGTTATCAGTGTCCTGTACCATTTCCACCCTTTTCTGCAAGTCTAGGTACTTGGGAAAGGGAAAAGTCCAAGTCACATTTTTTATGGGAGTATGGGCTCCTGACAAACTGTCAAGTTGCAAGCTTCCTTTTAAAGCAGAATTTTGACAGAGCTAATCATGGCTTCCCATTTTAGACTCCTGCATATGTGCATATCTGCATTTGTGTGAAGCTGGTAGTTTTTAAAAAATAATAAAAATATCCACACAAACTTATTGCACCTTGAAAAGGAGTGGCAAATCAGTGAAAGCTTCTCTAATTTCTGCTTGGGTGCTTTGCAAGAGCTGTTAACCTCAGAGATGGTGAAAAACAATTTCTGCCCAAAGAGGCAGAAAGTTTCAGTCAGAATCAAAGGGCTTGTGATTGCAGCAGAGGATCCTGATCCAGTGATAGAAGCTCTGCCATGCATTGGCAGTTATCATTTGCAATGGCTTGGGCAAGTTTGACAAGAGCAGCAAAGAGTTTTTGCCACTCCGGCTGTTCTCTGTACCAATAAACAGAATTAGTCATTCACCTTCAGAAGACAACAACCCATCATGGGTTGTACAACTATGCACAGCAACCTGGAACAACCAAGGATTGTCATGGTGGCTTGTTGCTCACAAATAAGGAATTTTGAAGGACACCGCTCAGGTTCACACAACATGACAGTTCAGCTTGGTTATTTTCCATGATGGTTTGTTGTGCCATCAATATTTTCTGTTGTAATCATTTTAGTAGTATGGTTGCTAGTATTACTATTATGTTCTGAGATGGCACTGAGAATTTTTCAAAAAGCAAACACTTATTTATTGAAGGTGCATGTTTGAATTAAGTAACTGTTGCTCTAATAAGTAAACCTGATTAAAATGGGCTTGGAGTTTATTAGGAAAGTAACTTCATTCTATCCTGATCCTTCCCTCAGTTGAAGCATAGGGTTTTGCAAGTTGGGACGAAAAAGCGTTGAGTTCCCTAGTCTGCATGCTGTGCTTGCCCCTCACATAAAGAACTGGAGGGAAAACTTTGCCCCAAATGCCTCCTTTGTTTGGAATATCCTAAGTCAAAAGATTGCCTCTTTATCACTAATAGCACAGAGCAACATGCTGAAATTCAAAAGTATGTATTTTCCTTTTGTACTACCCAATTGCTGCCAAAGTTCTTTCTTCATCAAAAAAGGAAAAAAAAATTCTTATGCTGAAGTCAGGACTATATAAACTTCAGTGAGGTAGATGAGAGCCCTGAAGTTAGTGTTACGGAGAATAAGGAAGGATGATTCTGAGGAAAGCTGGCCTTTCTTTAGAAGATGTGTGCTTCAAGAGGCCCACGGTAAATGGGGGGGGGGCTATTTCTCTTTTAATTGCCCATGTTTTGTTGACTTGAATTAAAATTTGAACATTGAAAATTATGAATGCACTGCACCCCTCACAGAGGCACTGAGAAATCACATGGATGAGTTGTAGCAGAAGAGAGCACACTGCATTACTGATGTTGGAAAATGTATTTTGAAGATTTGTTACAAGGAACAAAATCCAATTACTTTTTCCTGTAACAGTGTATTTTCTGTATTTTTGTTTTTAGAAATCAAACTAACTTAAGAGTTTATTGTAAAACTGCATAAGTGATTTTAATGGCAGCTTCATTTGAAATAAAATTGAAAGCACTGTTAATGTCTAATATATGTTATGAAATTAAAATATCTATATTCTTTATGGCTATGGTTTGAACTCAGATTTCCTGAATGGGGTGTTCCCTGTAGGAGGAAGGAGGGATGGTGATGTTGCATTGCCCCTGCAACTCCCTGGGCTTCCTGAGCTGCAGCTCTGGAAGGCCAGGGGACTTCCTCTGATGATGTGACTTGGCTGAAGGAAGCATCACTGAAATTGGAGCAAATTAATTTGATACCAATGCTCACCTCATTTTTTCATAAATGCATTCTGGATTTGAAAGTACAATTATTAGCAGTGAAGATGCTAACCCTAGCTAATAATGTTATTTAAAATGTCAGGATTCCGTTTAATAAAGAAGGTGACACAAACTCATGATTTCAGTGCATTGTTCAATGAATCATGGTGCTAATACAGTATGTGTACTAGCTGTCTCCTTCAATGTCCTACATTCAGATGGGGGACAAATTTAATGCATATTAATAGTATCACTGGATGGCATCCAATGTTGTGAGAGTGGACTTCCCCTTTTCCTTTCTTGGCACCCCTCTGTGTCCTTGCCCAAATCCTCTGGGGCAGATTTGGAGGGGGTATACCTGGGAGGCTGTATGGGGAGTGCTGTCTGTCATTGGTGGATGGATGCAGAAGGACAAATCCCAGTTTTGGAGAGGCCAACGTACTTGGCTTCCTCAAGGACTGGCCTTCGGTATCTATCTGCAATAGGTCAGTGGCTGAGCCATGGCTTTAATCTGGATCGTACATGGTGTAATAGAAGCATGAAATCTGGTATACAGTAGGGATGTTCATACAGAGCAACAAGCCCTGCTGGAGTTTCCTTGCGACGTGTAAATTCAGCAAACATGGTGAAGCACAGTCTTTTTGATTACTATGAATTCACAAAGAGGACCAATGGTCTGTTCCAAGGTTTCCATGTTTCAGCATTTCATGTCGCCATGTGTGACTTCAGTTGCCATATTCTTCCAGGGTTTCCCCATTTCCAACAGTAAGCTTGACAGCAAGGACAACCACTACAACCACTCCAGCTGCCCCTCCTGTTCTCCCAAGCAACTGTTGATCGACTTTCTTCACCTGGTGCGCACTCCCTGATCTCCAGCCACCCATCTCACCACCCCGCCTTACTGCCATGCCCGCCTCACCTTGCCGCCTTGTCGAGATGCCCCCTGTGCTCATCTTGCAAGGCCTCACCAGTATGCCATCTTGGCGGTGAGGCAGGCTTTGCAGTGGGGGGGTGGGGAGATGGGGCAGCCGGGCATGCCCGGAATGAAGGCCGGGAGAGCCTCCCAGCGGCCTTCCTGGCTGTCCGCTGCTCTCTGCTGGAACAGCACATGGGCAGCACACAGGGTCTTGCCACCGGGCAACATCCAGGGAGTCTCTGTCTCCCCCTTGGCTTCCCACCTTGTGTCCTGCTCCTCTCCGGTCCCCAGCAATGCGGGGGACTCTGCACAAGTCCTGCTGCCACTGCCCCCCATCCCTTGCTGACAGTCTGCCAGTGGAATTTTCTGGGCAGAAGCCCACATGGGTATCCTGGGGAAAGTGCCTGCCAGGGTGTGCGTTGTCTGCCCCTGGCTCTGGTGTCCATGCTGCTGCCCTCGGAGGCGGGGGGGGGGGGGGCTGCTCGTGGAAGGCAGCCCTGGGCAGCATGTGCAAATGGGCATATGGGGGTGTTGGGCTCATGTGCAGTAAAGGAGGGGGGAGGGGTGTGGGGGGGAGGCTTCTGCATGGGCAGGGAGTGTGCCTGTTGCCTGTCGCTCCAACCGGTAGCAGGCAGCAGGGGAAAAAAGCTGAAGCCACACCCTAGGGACCATGCAGGACAATGGGGAAGAGGCAGCCAGGTGAGGCAGGCAGGAGCAGTGCATGCTGGGATGCATTCCTAACAGTAGGGGCTGATAGGGTAAGTGCTGTCATTTGGAAAACTGGTACCACACCACATGGTTTGATTTAGCATTTTGTGTGAACATAGCCCCTAAGAATATTCTTAGCGCTTGTGATGCTGCTAACATGTCCAGCATTCAGATTAATGACTAGTTAGGGTTACAGAATGCTTTATATCAGTCTCTATAGATCTGCTTTGCATTTTATTTATACAAATGCATACAGCATGAACCAGTTAATTTATCTACAATTATTGATTATGATGTAGCTATGTAACCATTTTGCTTGATTTAATGTGACAGAATTTAATAGAATTCTCAGAGTTTATAGTGGGGTTTAAAGAGAACTACAGGAAGATTTCTTCATAAAGAATATATTTTTCAGAAAGTGTAAGCCAGGCTTCTTCTTCCTGATGCCCTCCAGATCTTGGCCATGCTGGCTGGAACTGATGGAAGTTGCTGGAGGGGACCAGCTTAGAGAAGACTATAATGGTATCCATAGAGTTAGGTTTCAGGTAGTTTCTGAAATCACCCCACTAGAACCTGCAATGGTTAAATGAAAGATCAGCCATCACCTAGAGCAAATTAGAAAATTCATTCCATCATACCCAACTATGCAGATTCTTCTGTTTGCAGGAAGGTTTTTTTTTTTTTTTTTTAATGTTAGGCAGCAAACTGCTGTCCAAAATTCTATATTCCCTTATCCAACTCAGGGGAGTGCCATCTTGTTTTACATATGTAGACAAAGACTAAATTTACTTAAAAACTTTGACTATGGTATTTGTTGGAACCTTTTGAAGGTTGAGTATATAATTTCTACTGACTGACTCCAAATCTTTATGCTTTTATTCATTTACTTTGTCACAACACCATGAACTCAAGTTGTTATTTGTGCAGAAAATAGCACTTGTTGCATTTGCCAGATATGCTAAAAGAGTAAACATATCTGCATTCATGAGCTTGAACTCTCATTTATATTTTCTACAATGACAGCTTTGCTAAAAACAAGATTCCAATTAAAAACTTACAAAGCTCCTTGCCACCCACTCCCAAACCTTAGTCTCCAGCCAAAACCTCTTTCTTTCCATGAAGTAGGAGAACAGGGGAGGTGTTTATATTTTGCAAAGCACCAGAATTATCCTCTGGTAGAAAATGGCAGAGTGGTACAAAGACAGGCTTTCTGTTTCCACTCTGGTCAGGGTCTATGTGTGTGGCTGCTTCTGTCTTTGTTCATGTGTGGAAACTGGGATGGTTTTAAGAGATGTGAAAAGAATTCGGCTGCTTCCTTCATACACATGGTTCTGCAAATCTTGGATGTCTGCCAATTCCCCCTGCCCCGCCTGATGCCCATTTGCCTTGGGAGTGACGGGGTTGCATCCAGAGTGAGGTGCATGTGAATGGGATGATGGAAGTAGAATGCTACACAGAAGGCTGGGGTACCCCGATGTTGGCAGAAGTGGGATCCTGGAAATTTGAGTGGAGGTGACAATTCTGAGCTGAGCTCTGCTTACAAAAGGTCCCTCTGCTTGATTCTGCAGGAGTTCCTTCTCCCTGCAGCAGTCTACCTAGCCCATTTTGCAAGGTGCCCTAAATTTTGAGCAGCATTTAGAGGTGGGGGTTAGAGGGACTGCTATGGAGACAGCTGCTTCTGTTAGCCCAGTTGTGCATGCCTCACTCTGAGTCTTAAGCCCATATAAAAACTTCTAATAGGAGTGGTGGCAAGCAAAATAATAGGTTTCAGAAAAGAGGTGTCAGACAAAGGCCTGTACTTTTGGGAAGGGTACACGAATTTAGACTTCTGCGTACCAAACTGTCTCCACCTTTGCTCTGTGAGCTTTTTAAAGGAAATGTTTCTAGACCTTTTCATTAAGGTCTGAAGTTATCTGCCAACCTCCTGAGTTCCTTGGTCATATTATGGCTCCTACACAGACACAGTAACCCAAGAATCTTCTCCAAGCAGCCTTTTTGCTGACTAATCTGTTAAATTAAAAACGGCATGTTTCTCAGTTGTGCAAAGGGCACAGATGTTCTCTCCAGTGACAGTTCCGAAGAACTGGCTCATGCTACAGCATGTATAAGCGCAAGGGACACCCAGGGGAAGTATTGCTGTCTTCCCCCACTGACTGGAAAAGAACACTGGCAGGCTGTTTCCAGACTCAGCCATATGTGATTACTTAGAAGATTGTTTATGGTTTGGCTCTAGGGAACAACAGAAGCCTATAGTGCTTTTGTTACATGCTTCTGAGGTTCCAACTATCGTGGATTCTTGCTAATAGAAATTAGATTTCCCCGAAAGCTAGGCCATGCCTTTTCTCTCCTCATCTCAAATACTTTTATACAATTGTCTCAGGACAGGAATTTGTGGGTATGCAAGTATCTCTGACAGATGTTATGGCTGGCATTATGCCATTGGTATTTACCCTTGTAATACATGGTTTTCCATGCAAGATGGTAATGAAGTATCACCATCAAGTCAGTTTTCATTTGTATGAACAGGCTTGGCTCTCCACGCTTATAAAGCCTTTAATGAACAGCATGTTCCTTACAATACTAGAGTGATCTTACTGTCAGGTGCATTTTCAAACTCCATTCTTTCATCAGGAAGGTTTACAGATGGGCAAAGGAACATGTAGATGATACTGATGTTTGGTTGTGTGCAAAGGCTCAGCCTATGTTCATTATGTTACCCTGCAGTGGAAGTTGTCCTTTGATCAGAGGTTGGCCACACTAATGAACACTGCTGTCTGTCCCTTGTATTTCACTTAATGGTCAGCTGAAATGGTACTATTTCTCCGTGTTTAATAAAGATCAACTGATTTCTGGTATCACAAGTCAGCTAAAAGTGCTTCTATATTTGTTTGTGTGACAAAGAACCCCCTTGGGGTTCTTCCCTTACAGCCTTCAAGCAGGCTCTGCAGATTTTTCTTCCAAACTTTTTATTACTTTTTCCCTGTATTCGTACTTGACACTATATTTTGTTTATTCCAAAGTACTGTGTTTAACATTTTTATTATAAGCTGCCTTACGCAGACTTGCCCTAAAAGGTGGGGTAGAAATAAATAATAGTGATTTTTATTTGAAAATAGCAAACCATGATTGATTTTAAAATTTATAACCTGCACCCTTTTTGTGGATCTAAGTTCCATTTGAACGCATGGAACTTCTTACAATTTATTAATTGTAGAGGTGTCAAGTCAGTTTAGCATGTATTAATCTAATTTCTCCAATATACAAGTGGAATATGTTTCAAGGTCTGTCTTCTTTATTTGAGCATACCTCTTAGGGAAGAGACATTCCAATTTTACATATGGAGAAATAGATCTGACAAGAGCAAGTCTTGTGCCAAATGAGCCAGTGTCTTTATTTCTGAATCCAGCACACTGTACCTTCCGTGCCTATGTTCTGGAAGAAAGGTGAGTAATAGAGTCAGTAAATGTTTTCAGAATGTGGAATTTGTTTGAGTCTTATGAATTGGTGTTTTCATATTATACATTATACTAGAATAACTCTCCAATTTTTTACAAGGATTGTTTCAATTAGTGAAAAATTAGAACACTCTAATTTTGTGTTCATGATATATCTCCATTCCTCTCCTCCACCCACCACAAGAATTCAAAAAATTGTGACAAAATCTTTATTCAGACAGGAAATAAACATATTTGTAAAAGTATTAAGTAAGCATTAATTGAGCATTGCTATTATACAAAAGAATACAAAGGCATTGTCTATGAAATTGTCCCTCAGATTTAGGAAAAAGAGAAATGCCAATGCTGGATTCAAATACATACTATATTCAGAATTTTAAAAACACCCTCTGTGAATATGTGGCTTTCTGGACAAATAGAAAGGATGCTGTGAAGCAAACTGTCATGCGAGTTAGCTCCTTTTGGCAAAAAGAAAGCAGGCAGATGCTGATTTAACTTAGGCCACTTTCCAATGGAATGTGCAATTTAGGCGCCTTTATCCTATTTCTCCTGCACTTCTTCCAAAGCAGAGGCCTGGTTTACACAATACCCTTTCTGTGGCTCCCCACCCCAACATGTCATTCTTTTATTTAGTAATGGTCTTGCTACACATGCTATTTCCTTTCCCTGCCCTGAATCCAATTTCTGATCAATCACATGGTAAAGTTTATTGAACAGCTGGCAATACTAGATTGAGTTTCAGGGTAGGAACCTCTGACAGGAAAAGGCCAGCTTCTCTCTTGCAGGGCAAAGCCAAGGAATACAGCCAAGGTATATCCTAATTGTTGGCTAGGAGTGGCACGCTTCAGAGGAGCTGCCAAGTTTGTGCACTGCACAAGAACATTAGTATTTACATTTCTGCTTTAATGGGAAGTGACAAAGCTCCTAGGAGTAGGCTCTGCCATGCTTGAAGGAGGACGCATTGGTGCCACCTGGGTCCCACCATAAGGAATAAGGATTTGGCAGGTCTACATCAGCCTACATCAGCCTTCCCCAACCTGGTGCCTTCGGGATGTGTTGCACATGTTCCAGCATCCCCTACTCAGTATGACCCCAAGGCAGATCGAAGCAGATCTCAAGGATGGCCTGTGGTCATGAATGCTGGGAGGCAAGTCCAACATATCTGAAGAGCTACTTCGTGCTTGCCCTTGCTTGCCCTAACCCTGCAGACAGGAAGAGGGGTAAGCCCTGCTTCTCTTTCCAGATTTGAAGCTGGTTTTCTTTAAAGTGGCTGGGGACAGGGGAAGTTGCTAAGATGTAGGTTGCCCTGACAAAACCATGGCACCTCACGGGATTTGGAATCTTTCAAATCAAGGTTCTACATTGTGTGGGAAGTGCAGTTAGGAAAGCCCTTCTCCCAACTGCAGAGAATCGCTCTCCAACTTGTGAAGGGCAATGAGGATGGAAACTTGTGAGGTGTATGCATATAGCAAGCTCATCTCACCCTGTCCATGCCAGGTTTTAAATAGACCTGACCTCACACAACTGAATCGGGGCTGTTGTCCTTTCAGAAAACTATGAGATGGGGGCCACAATTGGCAATTGTAATACTATACTATGTGCAGTTCTCTTCTGCATAGTACTCTACTGGTGTGCTGATGAATAACTCTTGACTCCCATAGGTAGAAGCTGCCTCTTTCTCTTGATCAATATAACTTAAGGCCACTTTGCTATCTGTTAACTGTATTATTACGAAGGGCAAACAAAATGACACTTGTCCCATTTGACAAATATGCATTAATATTTGAATGCTCATACTGAATGCCCATACAGCACATACACAGAAGGCAGACACCGCAATCTGGTTTCTCAGCCCATCTACATGCTGCTATACGTGTAAAGGAATGCTCCCCATGAAAGTAAGTGGTTACACTTATTGACCCTCTTGGATCAGCTGTATTATTAAGTGACAAATGTCCTGTCAAAAATGATCTAGAGAAAAGATGGGCTGGCTGAGGAGACTTTTATGATGGCCAGTAATGTCATGTGCCTCAGATGTGTTTATAAAGTACATCATTTTTAAATTTTAGAACTGTCCCATTAAGATAGAAACATTCATACCGGAATAGCAGATGCCTCTCATTTCAGCCAGAAACAGCCTCAATTCAATATGTTAGAAAAACCCAAAAGGATGGTGTTGCTACATTTTACAATCTAAAAGATATGGGCCACTCAGGTAAGTTGGAAGTTGGGTACAGGGAGAGGGAACAAACACGGGACCAGCCTTTTCTGTGCCTTCAACAGCTGCCTGAGATGTGCAGAAAGTTGAACGTTAAAGCTTCCCGCGGGGGAGGGGGGATTCGCGCCCTGGCTTGACGGCTGCAAGTCAAGCTGCTGTTCAGGCAGTAGAAGCTGGACCAAGGCACCGGAAGACCTTCCCCAGCAAAAAGGCAGCTGGTTGCCTCCCGAGGCCACCGTGGCTGCGCTTACCGAGAGCTAGGGGCGCGTCTCTACGGGACACGCCGCTCTGGCGCTAAGACGGGCAGGCGGCAGCAGGCGGTCCGCCTCAGCTGTCCCTGTCCGCCCCGCCCTGGGGGGCACCTCGCCTTGCCACCGACAGGGTGAAGGGCAGGGGCTTGAGGACCAGCCCGTGCTCGCAGTCCACGCTGAGCTCCTCGGCAGGGTTCGGCTCCAGGTCGCACTGATGGAGGAGGGAGGCGGTGAAGAGGAAGAGCTGCAGCTTGGCCAGCTGGTCTCCGATGCAGCGCCTCTTGCCCAGCGAGAAGATCATGACCCGGCAGGCGCGGTCCCGGTCGAGAGTCCCCCTCTCGCTGTCCAGGAAGCGCGTCGGGTCGAAGACATGCGGGTCCTTCCAGCGAAGCCGATCGTGGTTGACCGACCACTGGTTGACGAAGACCACGGTGCCCTCGGGGATGCGGAAGCCGTCCAGGAGCACGTCGGCGGTGGTGGCGTGCGGGATGGTGAGGGGCACGAAGCTGCTGTAGCGGAGCGTCTCGTAGAGGAACGCCTCCAGGCGAGGCAGCGAGGCGCGGTCGTCGGCCGTCGGAAGCCGCTCGCGCCCCACCACCCGGTCCAGGTCTGCCTGCAGCTGCCGCCGGAGCAGCGGGTGCTTGAGCAGCAGCAGCAGCACCCAGGCCAGGGCCGTGGAGGTTGTGTCTTGGCCGGCGCCGAAGAGATCGGACAGCGTGCCCTCGACGTAGTCGCCGACCAGGCCCTGCTGGACGCCGGGCCCGTGCTCCATGCAGTCCAGGATGGCGTCACTGATGTGGCGCGGGGGCGCCCCCGGCCGGAAGGTGCGCCGATGCTGCGCCACCTTGGCGCGCACGAACTCGTGCAGCTCCCGGTTGAGCTCCTGGAAGTCGCGGAAGACGCTGCGCACCGGGTTGGGAAAGGCCTGCAGCCAGGGCAGCACGTCCACCAAGCTGCCCGCCGCCACCGTCTTCCCGAAGCGGTCGTTGCGGCCCAGCAGCGCCCGGAACTCGCTGTCGCCGTGGCTGTAGCGCTGCCCGAAGCAGAGGGCGCACATCACGTTGGCGTTAGCCACCGTCAGCAGCGGCGCCGGGTCGGTGTAGGCGCCGCCCGCGCTCAGCCGCACCAGCTCCTCGATCAGCTCCTGCGCCTCGGCGGCCACGTGCTGCTCGAAGAGCCGCTTGCTGGGCGTGTTCGCCGTCGAGAAGGCGCGCAGCGTGGCGTGCGCGACGCGCCGCTGCGCCCGCCAACGCTCCGTGTAGCGCCCGAAGGCCATGCTCTTGCCCCCGGACACCAGGTGGAAGGACGGGAAGTCGGGTCGGCCCGCGAAGGGCCCCCCCTGCTGGACCAGCGCCTGCCGGATCACCGCCTCCCGGTTGAGCACCACGACGGCGCGCGTGCCCAGGCGCAGCTGGAAGACGTCGCCGTAGCGCCGCGCCAGCTCGCAGAAGGTGAGGTGCGGCAGGCGGCCCAGTTGCAGCGCGTTGCCCAGGAGCGGCCATCCGGCGGGGCCCGGGAGGCTCTTTCCAGGCGCCTTGGGGCCCCTTCTCGTCCACAGGTACAGCAGGAGGGCGCAGGACACCAGCAGGACCGGCCGGGCGGCGCTCTCGAGGAGCGCGGCTGCGGGCTCCGTGCGCTGACTTCCCACGCGCTCGCCCATGGCATGGGTGGCCTCGGCCCCGCTTCTTGGGAGGGGGCGGCCTTCAGTCCTTAGGGGGCGGTTGTTCAGCTGGAACGCCGAGGCTCTGCGAGTGGTATTCGAGCCAGAGTCTGCGCCCCCTCCTTTTATCCCGCGCGGACCACCCGCCCTCCCCTTCTAAAGTGCCTCCTGGTTCTGCTCTAAGGAGTTCGGAGGATGCCCGTCCGGCTTTATAAGCCGTCTGGGAAGGGGCTGAACGTTCCTCCTCCTCCTCCCTTGTGGTGGTCCCAGAACCACCCCCCCCCCGCGCCCGTGCGCAGCCATTCCGTGCTTTGCTCCTAGACAGAATTGAAACAGCAGATTGATCCCTCACACCAGGAATGTGTGCAACTTTCCAAAGTCTTCCTTCTGCCAAAGACAGCCTGATCCCTGCAGCACGAGGGGGGAGGGAGTGTGAGAGCTACTGGATTTGCCAGGCACCTTTGGCTGCCTTGGACATGTGGCTGCTTTTCGTGACTGGAGAGAAACTGGCTGGCAACTGGGGCTGAGGTGGTGCTGACTCAAGGCTGCGTTGTCGGGTGTTTCATAGCCATTTGGCTGCTCTGCGCGGTCTGTGCACTTTGTCATCGCTGGGTTGCCCCAGGGTGGGGTAGCGTGTGGGTGTTGATACTGCATTGCACTTACTTGACCACCAACTTTACTTTTCCAGTCTTTGAAATGGGGAGGATTTTTGCTTTGTGACATCTGCCAGTGACCTCCTCATGCATGACAACTCCCGTTATCTCCATGATTATGGGAGCTGGAGGGCACCAGATTGGGGAAGATTGTCTTACCTTCTTACCATAACAATAGCAAGTGCTGTTTAGTCATTTTTAGGCAGAGGGACCTTAGTCTGCTTAGCAGCAACAACAGGAGGAAGGGGCTGATGAAGAAGGCAAGGTGGATGTGGGGGATCCAGAAAGTACCTTATGTGAGAGAAGGTTATTGGGTGTTTTTTGAAATTTGAATTAAGTTTTTTAATTAAGTTTTTTTAATTTTTTCCAAAAATTAAGTTTTTTTGAAATTAAGATACTGTGAAAGTGACACCAATATAGGCTGGTGAGTGTGTGTGTGTTAGAGAGAGAGGTGGGGGAGATCTTATTCAAGATAGTGTCATAGTGTCTTCTTAGGAATTCAGCCTTTATCTGGGATTTCTGCCCTGCTGCTTGCAACTCTGACATCATTGCAAGTAAGCCTGAAAATTCTCATCACTTCTGTGACCTGCTACACTTCTTGCCAGCTCTTTCTGTAATCCCCACAATTAATCACACCAGTTGCATTACGTTCCTGTCCAGTGATAATTTCAGACCATGGCCCTGATCTTTTTTTTTTTTTTTGCTTTGACAACTAGCAAAACTCCTTTGTTGTATATACCTTTTAGTCTCCTTCAGAGATAACTTAAACCATAGTTTATTCATTTCTTATGGCTAAAAGTGATCTGACTTCATATAGTCCGCGTGACCAGCTGTGAACAGGTGTAGAAGTGTGTTGTGAACACAAATGGAGTGAATGTCTTCATTGTACCCGTGGTGCTCTTGAACAGACATGGACATGATTTCTCTCATTTGCTCCAAAAATCTGTTTGTAGGCACCAAAACCATGGTGCCAGATAGCACAGAATCCTCCTCACAGTAATGTTCCATGTCCATGTGATGGCCACCATTTTTCTAGGAAGGTGGTTGTGGCCCAAATGACTTATTCTGCACAGGAGACTAAGTTGCAATTATGTACTGAATTTCAACCTATTTTGGATTTCTTCCAGGTCCACAGGCTTTTTTGAGTCAGTATTCCGGGAGTACTGCTTAAGCATTTGTTTGATATTTTACAGGAGCTGAATAACTGCTGACAGTATTTCACCAAAGTACCGTATTTTTTGCTCTATAGGACACACTTTTTTCCCCCTCAAAAGTAAGGGGAAATGTCTGTGCGTCTTATAGAGTGAATGTGTGTGTGCCCGACGCCCGGGACGCTGCTGGCCGTCTGCACCACATGGCACCACCTGGCTGGCACGCGCTCGGCGCGCCCTGCTTGGCCCCCCCTCCTCCGGCACAGGTGAGAGCTGTGCCGCTCAAGGGGAGGCGTGCGGAGGAGGAGGAGCCGCGGCCTTTAACCCGCCGGCCGCACGGAGAGACGGACTGCTCACCCCCACCACCCAGGAAGACCTGCCGCCGGCCCGCCGCCTGGAAGACCATTGCCGGCCCGCTGCCGGCCGCCTGC